GAGGCGGTTTTTCGAAGGACTTTCGGAATCCACCTTTTTTCCTATTCTATAAAGCTTACAAATACTGACTCCTGAAATTGTATCTGGGAATAGTTTACTCAATGATAATAGTAGGAGACATGCATATGTTTTGTTATAAGCTTTTTTTGAATATCGATTGTAGTAAAATTACAATTTAAGGATAACTGAGAGTATTTTGCGTTACCCACTTGTTCTTTTCTGTTTAGGACTTGGGATCACCCTCTGCAAATGTTACATCTGAATGCGCTACTTTCATTCCAGATTAAGTAACTTTCGGCGAAACACCCTTAAATTGGTGAAAGTGTTAATAGAAATAATATTTCGAAAATACTGGGAGTAAAGGAAAAAGTTGATAACTGAATGAACTCCAGTTTTATTATAGGTGTGTTGCTGATAGAAATTTACTGACTATCTACACCATGAAAGATTGTTTCTTCAATAAGAACCAATAAGAGAAATCCGAAATAATTCTGCTGTTCTCATGGTTCTAGGGTTATCGAAGTGAAGAGCACGGGACACCTTTTAAGAACACTTTTCCAGTTCTATAGAGTTCACCTCCTATTTTTGAAACTTGCACCTAAAATCCATGCAGCTAAGAGGTTAAGCAACTATCAAAACTGGCCTTTTCGAATCCGTCCTTCTAGATGTGGATCGAAGCTATTATCGTTGTTTATAGGAAAGAACGTAGTAAGACTCAAGACCTGAGTACAGATAAAAAGATTGAGAAGAATTTCACTCTTAATCCAGTTTGTATATAGAACAAATCAGTAAGTCTCTGTTCCTATTTCCTTCCCAAGTACTTTGGGGAAATTCACTCACTGATTCACCGATTAATAAACATCCTAGATACTAAAGTGAATCACGTTTTTTGTTTGAATTCCTCTCATCATTGTCTCATAACAGTATTTCGTCGTTTCTCAGCAAAGTCGTTTAAGATTTTTAGTACTATTACCCGGGCTCCCAATTTTCAGTCTTCAGTCTTCAGTAATAAGGATAGGAGGTCTGTCGACCTAGACCTTGTACCATCTTAGTAGCTCGTCGTTGGACTCTTTCTAGCATATCTGCTTCATATTTGAAACAAGGACTCGCTGCTTGAATCCCGTATTCTAAATGTGGTCGCACATAAATCGGGTATAGTAATCCAAACATTTCATCATCTAAATACTGGAAAGACCTACGAATTGACCATAATACCCTATAGCCTTTTGCAGCAGCAGCCTTACAGTGACTAGTCGTTTTGAGATCATTGCTTAATATAACTCCTAAGTCTTTATGGTTTCTTGCTTTGGGTAGCACGAATCCACGTAGTGTATAGTCATACGATTCATCTGAGCTATTTAACTGCATCACTACACTCTTATTAGGATTTACTTCTAGTGACCACCTGTCTAACCATGCCACCAATGAGCTAAGATCATCCCGTAATACTATTCTATCCGACATACTATGTATGGGTCTCCAAATCTCTATGTCATCAGCGAAGAGTAGAACGGATGATTTTGCTACAGTTGGCAATTCATTTACATAAAGTAAAAAGAGAAGAGGACCTAGGATTGTGCCTTGGGGAACCCCACTTTTTACAGGTACCCACGAGGAGAGAGCCCCATTAACCCTTACCCTTTGTCTCCTGTCATGGAGAAAGTTACTTATCCAATCGACGACTGTGTTATGGATTCCAAAATGTTTCAGTTTGAATTTAAGACCAGAGTGTGAAACCTTATCAAAGGCTTTACTTAGATCTATGAAAATTACATCCACACAAGCATTCCGATCCTTTGCCGCAGCCCACTCTTCTCGTGCAATGAGAAGATTTGTCAAGCAAGATAGGCCTTTCCGAAAACCATGTTGTGCCCTGGAGAAAAGATTTTGCCCTTCAACATAGTTTATAACAGCTGTCCGAATGATTTTTTCCATCAGTTTCACAACTGCACTAGTTAAGCTAACGGGTCTATAGTTACTAACTAAATCCCTACTCCCAGCCTTATACACCGGACTTATTATGGCGTCTTTCCAGTCTCTAGGAAGTCTGGACTGTCTCAGAGACATGTCGAATAGTATCGCTAATGGTTCAGCGATTTCACCTGATATGGCTTTCATAATCCTAGGATGAATATCATCGGGACCACTGGACTTATCAGGTTTGAGATGCTGAAGTAGCCTTAAAACAGTATCTTTCTCAATGACTACAGGATCCATCAGCGAGCCGTCACGGTCACAATGAATCATTGGTCGTTCCTCATTACCGATAGAAAACACTTTACTAAAATATTCCGATAAAGCTTCAGCTTTTTTGGCATCATTCTCTGCTAAGATTAACGGATTGTCTCGTATCAAAAGTGATGGGATTCCATCGCTTCTCTGAATTCGCCTTTTTATATACGAGAATAACCGTTTCGGACTATATCTAGAATCCCTAACCAATTGTTTTTCCTATGAATGTCTAGTCTTGCTTATTAACGCTTTACAGGCATTCCTAATCTTACAATAACTGGATCTGTATTGTTCTAAGCCAGTAGAGATGAACATATTCCAGTGATTCTTCCTTTTTCTAAGGAGTTTCCTGACCGTTTTAGTTATCCATGGTGGACTATTTTTCGGTCTTCGCGGTATCAGGTATGGTATGAACGGGGACGTAACTAGTCTAAATTTACCTTTAAATACAGACCATGCTTCTTCAACTGATATGCTAGTATCTACTAACCAATCTGTCTTAGCAGCGCATTCCTGAATGGCTGATATGTTAGCTTTCCATACATTTGGGCGCGGTGTAACCTGATCGTATAACATGTCCCTAGTTCTAAACGCGAATGACAAAACAGCGTGATCGCTGTTTACTAACGGTGGAAGAATATTTAAGTCGACAATATCCTCAGTCTCATGAGTGATTACCAAATCCAGCAGAGAAGAACCCTGGTTAACACCAAAACGTGTGGGTTGCGATACATGCTGCACTAGTGCATGCTCCATCAATGTTATCAGTAACCTACTATCAAAGGAGTTTATAGATCCTTCTGTGGTCATCTCAGTCCAATTAATATCAAGTGCGTTAAAGTCTCCTATTATCAAGCACCTGGTATTATCACTCCAAAGATGAATGTGCTCTAAAACAAAGTCATCAGCTAAGCAGATTGGGCTCCGATAGATGACACCTAGCATAAATGTACTACATCCTATTGCCAACTTACAGCTAATGACTTCACAAGTGCCGCTATCATGGGATTCGCTAGTAAAGGAGCGGATATTTATGCCATTAGCGATATATAACAGGACGCCCCCTCCTTTTCTACATCTATGTCTATCACTCCTGATGCAATGGTATCCGGATAATTCTGGAGTAATGTCTAAGTCATGGACCAACCAAGTTTCTGTCACTGCTACTATGAGTGGCTTTAACCTGTCTACTAGTGTTTCTAGTTCATAGAACTTATTTCGTAAACTACGAGCGTTGGCATATAAAACTCCTAAGTAGAACAGCCTATCCACACAGGCCTTGATAGCATTCGCTTCCAAGACCTGACTATCCGAAAACCCACTAGTCAGAGATTTTCCTCGCCGTTTTGCCGACGGGTTTCAAGTTCAGCTAGTGCTTTCTTTCTTTTTATTCTATCTTTGAGAGACATGTCAGGTCTAACTCGGATGTCAGAATTGTCGTGACAACGAGCGCTACTTAACAGGAGATCCCGTCGCTTCTCCGATCCTAGGATTACCTTAAGGAGTCTGCATGGACGGGGTTCAACATTGTCCTCGGTCCTCTTGCCTATTCTTATCAATTTTTTGACCTGAACTCCTTTGGAGTTATCTGATAAAATACTACGAATGTATTCTCCTAGCTTTTCTAAGTCATGCGCGTGTCTAATTTTCGGATCAGGGTCGTTTGACTCTCGCAATTTGCTCACAATAATATTCGATGTTATTAGATTTTTCTTCTCAGTCACGCCAGGATGGGTTTCACTCTTACCTTCAGATTTTGGTAGTGCAATTTGTGGCTCACAATTTGGGTCCACCAGGGAGTTACTAACTACCTGTGTACTGCTTACAGCTTTTTTCTTTTCTGTTCGTTTCCTACGTACCGTATTCCATTTTTCATCCCTCATAACACTGGGACTATTTGGAACGGTGACTGTTTTATCCAGATCTTCGGTTTCCATTAAAGGTGCATTATTAACAATGTCAGTACCAGATGGTACTACTCCCCCTGTTAATGTCAACGAAGATTCCACTTTTACGTCAGTCAGAGTCAATTTTTTGAGGCGTCGCGTAACAGCAGGTACTACACTGACACATTCGTCGCTGTCAGTGCCCGTGTTGTCGGCGCATATGCCATCCTTCTTTTTACAGGCCAAAGCCAACAGGCTCATAGCCTCCTGTATTAGTAATGCCTTGTTGGCACAGCAAAACATGCAAAGCCAATGTGAGTTAGGCTTCGAGCATCTTTTATATGCGGTGGGACTTAAGCGGGTGCACATTTTGTGGAACCACTTATGGCATTCGTCACACTGTATCCCCTCTTCCACAGGGAACAAACAGTTTGGTTGCCCACATTTGTGAGTCTTACCAACCATTGTGATTCGATTTAAAAGGTTTAAAAACAAAAAATGATAACAATATGAATACAAGTGTTAGTCAAGGACTAAAAACAGGTACCCAGGACAAAATGTAGCAAAAATTTCAAACTTTAACCAAAGAACTCTTAGTTAAAGTAGACCAAGAATGCTTTTTAGTGCAATAAGTACCAAAAGCAAGTATAATCACAACAAGTACAAAATTCACTGCCCTTTTTGAAATTCGCGCTATATATTTGAGGAAATTTGGCAAATTTTGGGGAAATTGCACAAAAACCCCGAAATTCCCTCAAACGTTGAGGCCTTCCCCAAAATCGGTAGTTCGGGAAGTAGTCATCTATAAAGTTATTTAGGGTTTTATAAAGTATCGGCGAGACTAATTTAAGGACGACCTTTGAACCAATCTTAAGTGACCTTGACAATTATTAGCCAATCAGAAGAAAGTTGGTGTAAAGTGAAAATATCCCATTCATTTTTCCCGTTTTTTTGTTTAATAATTTTATTCGTTTTATAGCATCATGAATGCAACTGTTAAAAGACCGCTTGGGTTATTGATCTTATTGTTTTGGAGTTACTTCTTCACTTCGCTAGCTCGGAGAGCCATACAGAATATATATCCTATAATTCCAGTAGAATATAAAGGAACTAAATCAAATACTCATTTAGGTAGGTCATGTCGTAAATTATTCTTGATACTGCGTAGGTAAAGTTCTGGTTAAGTTGTGTAACCACTTAACTTCTAGCTTGCAAATTGTGGGTCACATGTTTTGTGTTATTCTGTAGCGTCGTTTTTATTATAAAGTGATTGTAATCCATCACAGTTCCATTAAATCTCTTGTTAGTCTCTTTTAACTTTTATTTAGAGCTGTCGTTCATACATTCATAAATAATGCATAAGCATCAGTGCTTGAAGTCATTAACTTCTGGTCTGAGTCATGTTGGTAGATGCAGACTATTTGGTTGGGGTCCGCGTGACTATCGTGGCCAATGGTTGGAAACTGAGTGACATGGTTCAGAACCGATCACTATGAAGTAGGTGTATACACTCTCTATCTTCCCTTAAAGTAAGAGATTAAAATCGCTTCATATCTCTCTTTCTACGAACTAATTCTTTCTTCCTGTACTATATTCTTATATACAATCTTTCTTTTATATATTACCACCATTGACCTAACTACTATGAATCCGGTGTTCATCTTGCTGTGCTAATGCGGTATGGCAACTTGGACCGGTGCATATATGTGCCTGGTCCTACCTTGTAGCTGAGTGACTGAATGCACAAGTAGTGGTGTTTACGCTTATCAGCCTTTTGGATATGATTTAGTGTTTGTAGGATAAGATACTTATTACCAAATGTTAAAACTTTGTGCTCTTTTTCGTTTAAAAATTGCTATAAACACCCAGCATCTGATCAGTTCGGATGGTATCAACTTTTTGTGTACAGTACCTCTGAAATAAGTTGTATATTACTTCCTTAATCTTATTCCAGGTTCCATAATTACTGCTCAAACATTGGGTTATACAGTTACCAAATTAATTGGTGGGATTCTTATGGATCACTTAAATCCATTACGAATTTTTGTTTACTCTCTGATTTCAGCCTCAGGTTCACTGTTTCTTCTATCAGGTAAGTAAATATTTTTCTCGCTTGACTTGTACTTATTGAAACAAACTTTTTGATCTCCCGTCGTTTTAAAGTTTATTATTTATAAGTAAATAAACGGAAAATTCCTTTTTTATTGTATTACATCACAACTTATTTAACGAATATATAATTAAATTTATAAAAAGTAGAAACAAATTCTGTCATGTTTCTTCAGTCTCATCTCATCAAATAGTTTGGTTAGTATCCTATGGATTAATCGGCTTAGCACTTGGTTCTAGTTGGCCAGCCATATCAAAGACACTTCGTACCGTAAGTTGACACAAAATTTGTAATTCTATTTATATTATTTATTTATTATTATTTATAAATGACAATTTTTGAAATGGCTTAGTCATAATTTCCTGTGAATACCTTTTTTTTCTAAAACTCCAGATAAAAATGAAAACTAGGGAATCATTTTTATAAGAAAGATTAATTCAAGTAATAAAATCCATGTAGAAGAAATAATGTGTTAATTTATACTATGATTTCGTTTTACCAAAGTACCGTTTGTTTTAAGCGGATATCTTTTTACTTCCGAATTATGTTCTCTTCCTAACTGGTATAGACTATTATTCACATTAAACTCTTAATAGTAAGCGTCCATCCATTCAAGCTAGTGGAACAGAGGCTATAATATATATACGCATCATTTTGTGAATGTGCATGAAGCTGCGGTTCTTTCGTTAAGTAGCCCAAAGGCTGAACATTAAGTCATAAGTATGAATCATATCCCATCAATCGAGATATAAATAGCCCAACAGGATTACTGTTACTTACTTACTTACATACGCCTGTTACTCCTCTTAAAGGAGCATAGGCCGCTCACCAGCATTCCCCCATCCAACTCTGTTCTGGACAATCCTTTCCAGCTCCTTTCAGTTGTTATTCATCCTTTTCATATCTGCTTCTATTTCCGACGTAATGTGTTCTTTGGCCTTCCTCTTTTCCGCTTCCATTCAGGATTCCAAGTTAGGACTTGCCTCGTGATGCAGTCTGAAGATTTGCGTAATGTATGACCTATCCATTTCTATCGTCTTTTCCCAATTTCCTCTTCGGCTGGAAGCTGGTTTGTTCTCTCTTACAAAAGGCTGTTGCTGATGGTATCCGGTCAATGAATGTAGAGTATCCTGCGTTGACAACCATTTATAAATATTTGTACCTTCTTGATGGTGATTGTTGTAGTTCTCCTAGTTTCAGCTCCGTGCAGTAGAACTGTCTTGACATTCGTATTAAAAATTCTTACTTTGATGTTAGATGACAGTTGTTTTGAGTTCCATATGTTCTTCAATTAGAGGCATGCGACCCTTGCTTTGCCGATCCTCTCCTTTACGTCTGCATCTGAACCTCCTTGTTCATCGATGGTGCTTCCCAGGTATGTGAAGGATTCTACATCTTCCACAGTTCCGCCATCAAGAGTGATTGAATTGCTGTTCTCCGTGTTGTTTTGAGGACCTTGGTTTTCCCCTTGTGTATGTTGAGGCCTAGTGACACAGGGACTCCTGCTACACTGGCCGTCTTTATCTGCATTTGTTCGTGTGTATGCGAAAGGAGGACTAAGTCATCTGCGAAGTCCGAATCGTCTAACTGGTTCTGAGATGTCCACTGTATGCCGTATTTTCCCTCAGATGTCGAGGTTTTCATAGTCCAGTCGACCACCAGAAGAAAGAGAAAAGGCTAGAGTAGACAGCCTTGTCTGACTCCGGTCCTTACTTGGAATGCGTCTGTCAGCCGTCCTCCATGCACTACTTTGCACTGTAGTCCGTCGTATGAGTTCCGGATGATGTTGACAATCTTCTCAGGAACTCCATAGTGTCGAAGAAGTTTCCATAATGTCCTCCTATCTACACTGTCGAATGCCTTTTCATAATCAATGAAGTTGATGTACAGTGACGAGTTCCACTCAATTGATTGTTGGACGATGATCCGTAGTGTCACAATTTGATCTGTGCATGACCGATCCCTACAGAATCCAGCTTGATGATCTCGAAGTTGTGAATCTACTGCGTCTTTCATCCGGTTCAGCAACACTCTGTTAAAGACTTTCCCCGGTATTGACAGTAGTGTTATGCCTCTGTAGTTTTCACATTTGCTCAGATCTCCTTTCTCTGGAATCTTGATGAGGTGTCCTTCTTTCCGGTTCATCGGCACTTGTTCCTCCTCCCAAATCTTTTTGAATAGAAGGTGGAGCATGTTTGTAGTTACTTCGATGCCTGACTTCAGTGCTTCAGCTGGTATATTGTCGGGTCCTGCTGCCTTCCCGCTCTTGATTTGTCCGATGGCCATTCTGATTTCTTCCGTCGTTGGTGGGTTGACATCTATAGGAAGATCTGTGTATGCTGCTTCGATGTCCGGTGGACTCATTGGAGCCGGCCTATTCAGGAGTTCTTCAAAATACTCTACTCATCTGTTCCGCTGTTGAATTTCAGTGATTGGCCTGCCTTCTTTGTCCTTGACCGGTCTCTGTGGTTTACTATATTTCCCTGCCAGTTTCTACGTTGTATCGTAAAGCTGTTTCATATTTCCTTCTCTTACAGCTTTTTCCGCCGTCGTTGCTAGTTCTTCTACGTATTTCTGCTTGTTGGCTCTAATGCTCTTCTTCACTTGCTTGTTTTCTTCTATGTACTCAGCTTGTGCTTAGACTTTCTCTGCTCGTGTTCGGCTGTTGTTAATTGCTGTCTTCTTTTTCTTCCTTTCTTTGATCCTGTCCAATGTTTCTATGGAGATCCATTCCTTATGATTATGCTTCTTGAGGCCCAGAACCTCTTGACACGTTGAAGTTAATGCTTCTTTGATACTTTTCCAGCTGTCCTCCATAGTAGTTTCTTCTTCTTTCAGTAGATTCTGTAAGGCTTGGGACCTGTTTTTGAGAGCTATCTTGAATTCATTGAGTTTGTCAGTATCTCGAAGGAAGGCTGTATTGAACCTTTGTAGTGCTGTTTGTCCAATTGTCCAGTTCTTCTTTAAATTCAGTTTTAAATTGGCCACAAATAGGTGGTGATCTGAAGCTATGTCAGCTCTTCTCCTGGTTCTCGCATCTTCCATTGTCCTTCGGAACTTTTTATTGATGCAAATATGATCTATCTGGTTCTCTGTGGTGTGGTCCGGTGGGATCCATGTAGCTTTGTGTATACGTTTGTGTAGAAATATTGTGCCGCCTATGACCAATTTGTTGATTGCAAACAGATTTGCAAATCTTTCCCCATTTTCGTTTCTCTCTCCCAGTCAATCCATGTCGTCCCATGATATCTTCCTATCCGGTGTTGTCTATTCCGACTTTGGCGTTTAGATCTCCCATCAGAATGGTGAGGTCATTTCTTGGGCACTTCTTTATGATTGATTGCAGCCTATCATAGAATTAATCTTTAATGTCGTCGTTGCTATCATCGGCATTTATCTATTTATTTGGACACATGAATATTGGTACAAGAGAGCACCAATATATATGCGCCACACAAAACAATGAAAATTCAAGAGGAATACAAAGAAAGAAAAAAAAGCTAAGGAGCGCAACAAAAAAAAGAGAGAACAATAACGAAGAGATTGATGTAAGGTAATGTGCTAGTAATCAGGGAACGCAAAGGTACAATCGGAAATCTTTCAGGTAAGGGAGACACAACCACTTTTTACGAAGAAAGTAAAAGAAGGTTACAGCAGGATCGCCACTGGCTTCTATTCTGAGCCATATCTGATAACGTCTCTAGCCACTGTGTTGCACCATCTCTCAGACCCCAACCAGGGAGTCATGAAGGACCAACACAAGCCAGCCCTTTGCAGCTTTCTTTCATACCACGACACCATGTCATACACTGACCACCTCTCCGCTTCTTCCAACCAGTCCCAGGGTCGGCAAATAATTCACGACGTGGAATTCTCTGAGACGACATTCGGAGAACATGTCCAAGCCACCGAAGTCGGTGTTTCAAGATGGTGACACCAATTGCATCATCGTCTCTGTGCCCGAACACACGATGTCAAACCTCTGCATTACTAACATGGTGTTGCCACTGGATGTCAGCAATCCTTCGGAGACAGCGATGATCGAACACAGAGAATCATCTAACATCGTCAACTTGGAGAGGCCAAGTTTCACAAGCATAAAGCAAAACTGCTCTCACCGACGCGTTGTAGATCCGACCTTTTACAGCCAGACTAACATCACGAAGGCGCCAAAGATGGCCCAGATTGGCATAAGCTGCTCTGTCTTTCACTATACGTGCATTGATCTCATCACTCACATCCCCACCAGCACTTATGCAGCTACCCAGATACACGAACTTCTCGACTACGTCTATCTGCTCACCATCCAGGGTGAGTACAGGATTGGAATCCTGCCAGTCTTGTAGAAGTACTTTGCACTTCGAAGGTGCAAAGCACATACCATACCTACGGACACTGATTGCCAACTGATTAAGTGTGGATTGCATGCCTTGGGCATTATCGCACAGTAAGACAATATCATCCGCATACTCAAGGTCGAGAAGTCTTTCTCCAGGAAACAGATCCACACCACCATTACTTATATTCATCAGAGCTGTTTCCAGAATGTCATCGATGGCAAAGTTGAAGAGGAATGGTGAGATTGGACAACCCTGTCTAACCTCATTGCTCGAATGGAACAATGGAGAAAGATGGTTGTATGCCCTCACTCTGCCTGAGGTGTTTTTATATAGGGCTTTTAGGATGTTAATAAACTTCTCAGGCACACCCTTCTTCAATAGACAATCCCAGAGAACAGCCCTGTCCAACGAATCGAAGGCAGCCCCGATGTCAAGAAACACTACGATTGTTGGCCTTTGATAAGTATGGCGATGTTCTAACATTTGGCGGAGGGTGAAGATATGATCAATACGTCCTCGACCAGAACGAAACCCAGCCTGCTCCTCGCGAGTCAATCTTTCTCGGGTTTTGAACAACCTACGAAGTATGATGGAAGCCAATAGCTTGGACGCAATCGTAAGTAGACTTATCCCCCGATAGTTGTTACAGGAACGACGTGAACCTTTTTTAAAGATAGGGACAACTATCGACTCATTCCATGACGTTGGTACACTCTCTAGTTCCCAAACCTTTGTAAACGACGTCGTCAATTCCTTAGTCAAAAAGTCTCCACCATCTTTAAAAAGAGCCGGAGGTAAGTCATCTGGGACAGGTGATTTGTAACGCTTCAAGAGTTGAAGTTCCTTGCGGACTTCCTCCTAGTTTGATGGATCAGTCGTCACCGGCCATGGAGGGCAGAACAGTCTGACCGATGTTGCCGGAGCAGCAGGCCAGTTGAACTGCCCTTCGAAAAATTCTGCCCATCGTCCAAGACGTCGATGGATGTTAGTGATTGGCATCCCGTTATCCTCGCAGATTGTTCCACTCACATCAGACTTCTTGCTGCCAGTGGCTCGGATGAGCTGGAAGAGCTTCCGGTAGTTACCAGATGCAGCTGCTGCTTCCAGCTTATTAGCACACTTCGACCACCAGGCTTCTCGGTCCTTACGCAAGCTTTGCCCGATTTCCTTACGTAACATCCTTCGTTTGTGGTCAAACTCACGGTCACCCGGAGTAGACCGACGGGCTTCAATGAATTGTAAGGAACCTGCAGAAACCCAGTGCTTATAAGCGGGACGTTTCGCAAACCCACAACTGACTGTTCCCGACATTTTCATGGCGTCATGCAATTGCAACCAATGCTCATCTATACTTTTCGGTGGAGTGGTAGCTAGCCTAGAGGCTAGCTCGGTTCAATACTTATTTGCAACAGAAGTTGCAACCAGCTTGCTAATATCAATCCTTTGCTGGCGGTCACTTCGTTGTCCACTGAAAAGTAAGGCAAGATTGGCGCAGACCAAGGCATGGTCAGAGTCCAGATAGGTACTCTAAAAGGAGCGGCAGTCTTGTACACAACCACGCCAGCGGTAGCTGATCGCGATGTGATCAATCTGAGTCCAGGCTTGAGATGCAGAGGGAGGACGCCAGGTGGCACATCGGCGATGACTGTGCCGAAAGTTAGTGCTAGCCGGAAACAGGTTGTAGTCTGTGCACAGTTGCAGTAGACGGTCTCCGTCCCCGTTATCTGACCTGCGACCAACGAGTCCCCATCGGCCACCTAAACGACTCTCTTCTGTGCCTAGACGCCCGACCTGAGCATTCAAGTCTCCGGCTAGTACTACAATATCTGTGGAACGCACTTTCTGGAGAAGAACAGATAACTGGTGATAAAACTCATCCTTGATTGCATCCGGGCTGCAATCTGTCGGGGCATAGGCGGAGAGGACGAAAAGACATCGTTTCTCACGCCGATTTCTTCTCACTTTGATGGAACTTTCTAATCTAACAGCACATAACCAACTGTTAATGGGGATCCAATCGACTAGTGCTGCCTCAGCTCTAGCGCTTAGTGCGACACCAACGCCTGCAAGACCAGACGAAGATGCCACAGGGTCCCCGGATAAGCGCACGTGAAACAAGCTTTTCGAAGCGACAGATGTAGAGCGAATTTGTAGTACTTCGCCAGAGTCTTGAATACGGGTCTCGGATAGACAGCAAACATGAATATTAAGACTTTCCAAAGACATAGCCAGCCCTATCTGTTGTCCGACCTGCATAAGTGTGCGAACGTTGAAGGCAGCCAGTTTGAATGGTGCACGTGGTTTCAGAAAAACTGCTTCAGTAATCATATTCGATGGTAAAATACAATTTTCAACCGGACAGTGACTCGCGAACGTTCAGATACAGTCGGATTTCCACCAAAGACAAGCCGCTTTATAAGTATAAAAGAGGGTGAATAATGTGGAAAATAATAATAATAATAATAACAATAATAATAATGACAATAATAGTAATAATAATAGTATTAATAATGACAATAATAGTAATAATTATTTGAATCGACTGATTTTTTTTCGGAGCGAGAAAAGTGGTTGCCATAGACATAGAGTTCATCGTTTGTGTGTGGGCTGTGATACTGCCCGGGTGCCCAAACCGAAGCAGGTGGTTATCTTAGGGGGCCACTCCCCGAGCCTTTGACCTAAAGGTCTAACCCACAAGACAGTGGAGCATCGTAAGGAGATGCAATCCCATGGTAGCCGGTGACCAACGATTGGTTTATACGCCATTTGTTCTCGCAGGATACTGAAGCCCATGTGCACCATTGGTTTGTGATCCGGTTAAAGCGCCGGACATTCGCTTTTCGTCCTCTCATTTGCGTAAACAACACCCCCGCCACGAGAAGGCAATGAGTAGGACTTCCTTGGCAGAGGCTGTATACGCACGGCCGTGTGAGAGTATTTCGAGAGGGAGAGCGGACTCACCCCACTCTCGGCCGTACCAGGGCATTCGGGGGTGCTATCATCGGTGGGTGCATAACATTGAATAATATTCATTGTGATCCCCTCCTTCTTTGTTTTGAATGATGCTTTGATGATTCTGGATCCGTGAGATTCCCATCGTACAAGTGCATTCCGTGCTATTTTGGACAGCATTAGAGCAACTCCCTGAGTGTGTGGAGCATTTTCTTCTTCGTGACCGGAGTATAGCAGCATCGCTCCCGTATTTAGCTTTTGTTGTCCAGCTTGGGTTCAATGGGTTTCGCTGATTCCCAGTACTGCCAAGTTGTATCTCCTCATTTCCGTTGCTATTTGACTGGTCTTTCCGGTCTCCCACATTGTCCGGACGTTCCATGTACCCATAAAAATTGTTGCTGTGGTTGTTAGAAGGGGCATCGGCCTCATGGCTTCCGAAGGAGCTCGGCTTTCACCATGAGGCGTCATATTTTTTCTAAATGAAGGCCTTCTAACTCCCAGGGCAGACTTTAAATGGTTTGAATTATTTTTTTCTGGTTAGGGTTTTTTACCGAGTTAGTTTTCTACGGGATGGGGTCCCTAACTCCATGCTCAACCCTCATTGTTTACCCGGGTATAGGACTGGAAGTAACTCTAGAAGAGCTACAGGCAGAGTTAAGAGAATTACTGTAGTTTTACTAACTTAGATTGTGGAGTCGTATGTACTTGACTCTGAGCCACGGTTTACTTAAGTATCAATGATACTACTTCATTCCCTAAAATGTATTAGACAGATTTGAATTCGAACTTGAGACTCAATGATTGAAAGCAGAATGTTTGAATCACCGCTAATGCAAAGAGCATCATTCAACTTTAGCCACTAAATATCATTTACGAAATATTTTTTGCATTTTAATGGCCTTTCAGTTAGATTTGTACGTATTTAACTTACTTTTATAATATCTCTTTTTAGTCCCTATCTTCGTTTTTAAATTATCGGTGAATCTACTTGGTTTCGTAGAGAAACGACGCCGATGAAAATAATATCTTAATTATTAAAAGAAACAAATATTTGATTAACAGTAACCTATTGTCTTACAGTTATTTAACTTGAAGTATTATCAATTACGTAAATTCCTAGTCCTAATTTAAAGTACATATGATTTTGTTTCTCAAAGTCTACTTAAATTACTTTCAGTCTGTGGCTTCTCATGAATTAGCCACTTGGTGGGGATTAATATCATCGTCTTCTAACCTAGCTGGTTGTATGGGTTCTTGGATATCTATCGTTATTTCTTCGTATGCAACAATATTTCTCGGTGATTTAGCATGGAGAGCTCCGTTCATTTTTGTTGGTAAGTACATACCTTTTAAGTGACCAGTGCATTCATTTTATATTGTGCTTATCATCAACTGTTGCCCCCTATTTAAAGGCAGATTTTTGACCTTGTATGTCACTATTTAGTGCCTAATTAAAAAACAACTATCCCTAAAATTTATTACCATTCTTCCTGTATGAAAATTAATCTGACTTAAGCTTCAGTCATACATAATTTGTATTATTTCTTAACTACATTGACTTCATATTATCTTCTGGAACGAACTCCTAGTAACGTTATCACTTATCCTAAACAACGTTGATAAATAGATAAGTCCAGATATTTCAAGGAATAGATATCATTCAACTTTATTTCAAATTCATCTACTGATGCATGATACAATAGCTGAATAATTATAAAATCACATTTTTAAGTGATTTTCACATCAGTATCATAAACCAAACAATACATTCATTCAGTGGTTTCGATTTGTATAACCCAGTTTTACATAAAATCTAGATTCGTCATTGTTTTCTATTATAATTTAAATCTTCAATATTTTTTCCTAGCTGGTATTGCTATTAAATGTAGACAAACTCCGATATATTAGCTACATAGTTGTTGCAGCTAATTGTCAAACCTTTTTTCTAATTTTTTCTGATATCTTTTATTTAAATCAACAAATGTGTTAACCTCAACATATTTATAATTGCACGTTTGTAAACATGAAATTCAAATTTGAAGTGATTTTTTTTCTATTGATGTAAATCGTATTTTACACATCCCACGTAATATAGAAATCCTAATGCAGTAAATTCTTAATTGTTTCCTACATTACTGTTAACCCCATATTTTTCTGGTGAAGGGGGTCGAAATAAGCGGAATAAAGTTTAAACCTTAGTTCCACTGGTTGTGGGCTGAGTGGTTTGATGATTTTCCCACCAGCTAACCTAGTAAGACAGTTTTTTTTAAAAAAATTAAATGTATACAAATTATCATTATTAATTCTATTGTCATTAATCATAACCTGCTCGATCAGTATTATAGGAAGTACATGATCAATGAAATCATTGTGATTATGATAACATGTACGATCACCAGACGTAAAAAAATATTTTCTCGAATAGTAGTATATCAATTGAAGTTGCAACACTTTTCACTAATCGAAACCAGAAAAGCTTAATCGAATCGAAAAATCTTGAGAATGATCCAGTTCTTCGCAATGTTTAGATCACCAACCAGAAATTTCATGAATAACTATTACCTCCTGATCTGGTTACTCTGACATATGCTATTTATTGAATTTCTTCAAAACATCTGGTAGTCAACGATGTATCCTCCGAAACACTTGAATTTCTTCGAGTTTTAATTTCATCGAAAATATTCAGCCTGAAATATAATCAAAGTCAATTGTTTATTTTATTTAACTAATTGTAAACTGATATCAGTTTTTTGAAATTTACCATCAAATCAGTAACATTCTTGGATTCACTATAAGTAGTAGCTTTCAAAGTCTACTAACAAAATATAACTTTCCTTATTTAACAATAATGCTTGATATCTTTGTTATATGTTAACATGTATTTGAAATTTATGAATTTGTTTAATTTTACAGGAGCATGTTGCATAATATCAGCTTTACTTCTCAATGTTTATCTGCGTTCGCGAACCGTTGATACGCTAAATAAAATCGACTCTAAGAATATACCAACTAAATATTTTAGTCCTTCTAGAGTAACATTATCTAACCAATTATTTGGGAAGCATCTCAACTCAGATGTAAAACACAAAGGCTGTGATGATACTTGTCAAAGTTTAATGTCCACTTCAAAATTGGATCAAAACAGTTATGATACAAGTAATCAAGAAAAGTGTTGTAATGAAAGTGAGATCATGTTATTACTTTAATCAGTCCAATAAAATTCCTCTTAAATTTTCTGTGATAATAAAAAAAAAACTTGATCATAGAAATTTCGTGTAAGTTATGAAGTTGTTCATTTGGAATCCACTAATTGACAAACAGCGATCTTAATTTTTGTGAGTACGGATTAGAAAATCTTTTGTAAAAATTATTTTGTGTATGAGAAACATTAACTTATTGATAAAGTGCGACTTTGTTGTGAATCAAGAGAGTTTTAGGATACTGAACCATGCTACTTTGTCAGTGGTACTGAAGTGCTTGATTTTTAGTATAAATCTATGACTCGATGATCAATAAGCATTTATTCCGTTTACCTTAAAGTTCTAGTGTAACATTTCAACCACTCTAAAGCAAATCAAACTATTATATACATCAAATGAATACATTTATTACTATCACTAACTAGTTCTGAACACTTGTAGTGTCGGTTATTATGTTAAGCCCATATACCTTATTCCAGCTTTCGGACAGCCCATTCTATTCATTCTACTTGAGTCACATCTTGACCTTATTAATTATTCGCTTATCAATCTTGACTGTTTTTATATGAGCGCGTAGGTGTGTGTACATTCCTTATCCTATTCATCAAATGTCTGTAACTTATTTTTGTGTAACTATAAATATTGATTAACGCTCGGTCTAATGGGGGTTGGCTTACCCTCCATCTCCACCGCGCGTCGTTTTGCTTTGCTCTATTTCGTTCGCTTTGTATACAAAATATATGTATTCAAAAATCGATTCGCGTCATTTGACTTATTTGATTCCGTTATTCACTGAACGTTGTTTAAGTCGATAAAGACATGCGAGGATAGGCGGCATATACAATTCAATAACAATCATTCATGCGATCTACTTGGAGTCAGGACTCGGGCCACTAAAGTGGAAAGCCCGTCAACAAACATCGTCCGATCTAAATGACAGAATAAAGGGCCCCATCAAATACTTTTTATATTTACCCTAGCCTAGTGTTATCTAATGTTTTATAATTACTCCAAAAAGTTATTGAAACATTGTGTTAACAGAGCTAAGAAACTTTACGCTTCCAATAAATAATTATATTGGATTTGATATCCGAATAGCATGGGAACCAGGAGACTTATCGGGTTAAATTTGACCTCATAAGATATGAATTATTGTGATGAGGTCAAAATTAGTTGTATTTAGTCTTATTCTTATCCATTCAGGATATAATTTGATATGTGATAATTTAGTGGGAATAGATACGTTCATCATAATACATGACTTGTTGGTCTAACCACCGCCTACTTTGACGGGCGATTTTCGGTGGTGTAGAAGAGGACTGGAAGAAAGGTAGGAATACTCAAACCAAGACATAGCATTAGTCGACAAAGTCATTGACTGTTGATAGTGTAGTGAAAGAAAACAAAGGCGAGGACAACCAAATGTATTTGGGTACGCAACTACAGAATCTCTCAATAAAATCTGAGAACCATGCAGTAAATACTTCATTTGCAGAGTTTTAGTCAATTACCTCAAACTTGATTGTTCCTTCGTTTCCACACCAATCATTCTCTGTTCTTATTCTCTTCTTCTCGATCTTTTTAATCTTCTGCCACCAGGCATTCCCACTTCAACTGGTGATACATACTACTTATATCTGTCGACATTAGTAGCACTCACTACAATAGACGCAGACTGCCTAATTGGTATCCACGCGTTAAGCGCTATCAGTGGTGGGAGACTTGTGGTGACAGTTCAGAATTTTCCAAAATGGTGCAGATTCATTTATTCCTCACCTTCCTCTCGATTTTGAACTCCAGTATACCCCTGTACGTGTCTAACCACTCTGTCCTTTTGAACCATATTCTAATATTCAGCCTTTCTTGTTATCATTGCTACTTTATAATTCAATCCATTGATGTTCCTCTTGTTATTTCCATCTCGTCGTCTCAATGGGGTGTAGAAACTTGGGCCAAAGTACATCTTTGCCAGGCTCCGTTTTGGTAATGACTTACTAAGAAACGCTTAAAAAATCAAAGCATATATATGCAATAAGCTTATTTCTCTGATTACCTCTTAAAATCCACTTACATTAATTTAATACAAGATTTCTTGATTTCTTTATTTTCCAACCCAGTAACCCAGTACAATTTCTTGTGGTCACTTTTAATCCACACATTTTGGCCCGACAGCCAATCGGATAGATAGGTATTTGAACCTAAAATTTAGTGATTGAAAATCAATTTCCTTAATTGGAGCAGTGGCTTGGTGGTCCACCCACTTAGTCACGGGTTCAAACCCATTTCCATCTGACTCGAGTTAGCTAACCAAGGAGTATCAACATTCACGTTTGTTTTTTTCTCTAGAAACGAGCAATTATAAATAGGTTTACAGTAGAACCGTAACTTCACGCTTTCGGGAATCGGTTGATTAAGTGGTGGTTAAAATACACTTCACTGCCAAATGTGACCTTCCCATATTTAAATTTTGCCTTATGTAGTTTGGTCTAGCAAGCAGATCATATCACAAATCCTCACATAAGTAAGTATAACTTAAAACTAAGTAGACCAGTTTATACTTATTGTGCCATCTAAAAAATTTCATAATTAAATACTGAGCCGGTAAATCATATTTTGAAAGTTCTTTGACAATCACACTAAGTTGATTATCTCACGTGTTTTAAATTATCAGTATCCGGTGTTTTACATTTTAGAAACTAGCCGATTATCGAACAACTGTCAAGATAAAGATTTTACTGAAAATCACGATAATGGCGTGACAATTCAACCCGTTAAAGTGAATATTACTAATCAAATATCAAAATTGTTTCGTATTTTAAGTCCAAGACAACGTTTATTGTTGGGTACCTCCGCTAGTGTTCACATGTGCAGTACATTTTTACGTTATGCAATAGGCGATTGGATTGCAATTATGCTTTTGAATAATAAACATGGTTACTCACAAAGTACCGGTTTGTGCATATTTGTTATTTTTTGTCGTCCCATTCATCAATTATGTTACGTTGGTAAAATAAACTTTTTAATTTTATGCAAATATTCGTCAAAATTAGGACGAATAGTTTGACAGAAATTGGGCGCCTAGTACAGAGAAGTCATTATATGTGAAAATTATATTTGAAATAATCTTAGCGATTGAAATTTAAATTTCGCTGATTGATCAGAAATGAACGTGTTATAAATTGGACTAAATATCACTGTTGTAGCTTGATCCTTGCTACAGAAGAGTGACCGCAATTAATGAGTACCTGCAACTACTCTTCAACACTGTTCCCCCAATACTCGTGACTCTGTCCTCAACTATTAAGAAAGCAATACCTAACCTGTGAAGAATATATATTAAAGAATAAATATCACTCCTTACTTGCTGTTTCTCTACCCAATAATTATTGATTACATTTACACAGTTATAACCTAAAACCGAGTGAACTACATAACAAATTTTATCAGAATACAATCGAATGTCTTATTAAAATAGTAACCGAATTTATCTAAATTCAATCAACAGTCTTACTCTTGATCTCTTCTCATAAATTAGTGTGAACATCTCAAACTTCCAAGAGAGCCAGTCTTTTTGTTCATGGCTCAGTAGTAATGTTGTGTCTATGATATTGACTGGTTACTGTGGTTTAGATCTAACAGCGAGCGTAGATTTGTTCAATGTCCAACTGCAAACTTTGGTAATATTTTAGTTCAGTTTTAGAACTGGAAATGTAATTAATTTTTAGCTATACCTATAAAGTGAAATAACAAGAAATTACTGGCGTAAAAGAAAAAATAATAAAACTATATGAATACAAAAAAAGATAATGGTAAACTGTCATTTATGTGTAGTACATCATAGTTCGAGACTAATCCAGCAATTTTTTTTACAGTCAATAGTTATTTGGATTGTGATTTATAATTAGCAATCAATGCATTTTCTTCCCTCATTAGACTTTATCAAAATCTCCTAACGAAATTTAGCGTAAGAAACCCATGGACTGTATTCACTGTGTTCGGTTATGTTTTGGAATATATCTAGATGATATATACTTGAGTTGTAGTTTCGTGGTATAAACGTTGAATTTACATTTATTATGTCGCATTCTCAATCCATCTAGTTGATCCTGTAAATCCTCTCGTTTCCATACAAGAGTGATGATTCACTGTCTAGTATCATGAACCTATACTTAATTTTAATGTATATCCAGTTGATGATGTTAATTAAAAGCAAACGTTTATAAAGTTCTCAAACAAATCACATATGTCTACAATTCACCAAATACTGTTTCATAGATGTTACTAAATTATAAAGTGAATATATTTCGGATGATGTTTAGTTTGTTTATTTAATGTAAGTAATCAGTATAAATTTCATTTGAAAAAATCGTGTATTAGTTCAGAAATTTCTACCATTGTCTTTCTTTTCCAAAAAACACTTATTTTCACCTATTCATTTCAGCTTATTTAGTTGCCAGTAGTTACGAATTCGGTGGAATATTTGGGTCTATGTTCGTTGGAATAGTAGCTGATTTGAATGTGTTTTCTGTAAGTTACAATCAGATTTTTTGCTTGGTGTATGGATGGATATTTCATTATTCTGGCCCATGCTTTTTATGATTATTGTTTATTAAGACAAGTTAAGATATATTTGATAGTAAGACGGTTCACAGTCGGATGTTTTCTAGTCTTAAGTGTTTGTTTGGGTTATATAAAAATTTTCTTTTCAATTTTTTCGGGTTTTCCATTAATTGATAGACTCATTTCATTGTTAGATAACGGTGACCACCTACCACAACTTTGTGCAGACTATAACCTGTTTCCGGCTCGCACTACCTACCACTACAGTCATCGCCCATGCGTCACCTGACTTCCTCCTTGTGCATCTCAAACCTGGACTCAGATTGATCGCATCGCGATCACCTACCACTGGTGTGGCTGTGTACAAGACTGCCACTCCTTGTGGAGTATCTATCTGAACTCTGATCATGCCCTTGTTTACGTCAATTTTATCTTACGTTTTAGCGGCCAACAAATTTATCGTCCCAAACGGATCGATATCAGCCAATTGGTTGCAGCTTCTATTGCAAATAAATGTCGAAGCCAACTGGGTTCAAGGCTAGCTACCATCCACCAAAAAGTATAGATGAGCGTTGAATGCACTTGCATGACGCCATGAAAATGGCGAGTAAAGTTGCATGCGGCTCCGCGAAACGTCCCACTTATAGGCACAGGGTTTCTACAGCGTCCTTACAAATCACTGAAGTACGTCAGTCTACTCCGGATGGCTGTGAGTTTGATCATAAACGAGGAGTGTTACGTAATGAGATTGTGCAAGGCTTGTGTAGGGACCGAGAAGCCTAGTAGTCGCAGCGTGCCACTGAGTTAGAAACAGCAGTGGCAACGTTATGTCAGTAATGCAGAGGTTCGACATCGTGTGTTCGGGCACAGCGGTGATAATTCAATTAGTGTCACTATCTTGAAACATCGACTTCAGTGGCTTGGATATGTATTTTATGAATGTCGCCCCAGAGAATTCCACGTCATATATTATTTGCTGACGCTAGGACCGATTGCAAAAAGCGGAGAGGTGGTCAGTGTATGACGTGGTGTCGTGGTATGGATGATAGCTGTACAGAATTTGCTTCTGTCCTTCACGACTCCTTGCTTGTCGTCCTAGAGATGGTGCGACACAGTGGCTTGAGACGTTATCATGTATAATTCAGAATAAAAGCATGTATCGATCCAGCTGTTACTTTCAATTTGTTCATTAAAAATTAATGTATCTTCTTTAACTGAAAGAATTCTTCCTGGTTGTACTTTTGCTAACTGAACTGTATCTTCCATTATTATTATTTCACTCGTATCTATTAATTTCTATTCGTTGTTTTTTTTGCTTTATTATACACACTTTACATTCTGCATCTTTTCTTTGCCGCATTGTTAATGTATGGTGCATGTGTATATGACTCCGCTTTGTACCACTATTTATGTGTTCAAATAAATAAGAATAAATAAATTTGATTGACTTAAAAAAGCAGATATTTAATATATGGATATTCATAGAGACTAATCTCATTTTTTTCAAATGGATTAACGTTAATAGTTGTGATCATGAGTCAATTGAAACTAGACCACCATGGAAAACCTGGAAGCACTGGACGGCCGTTTCGTCCTAGTGTGGGACTCAACAGTAGTGCCCATCCACGACCCCGCGTCGCGGCATTTGAACTCAGAACCCATCATTCTCGCGCTCGAGTGCTTAACCACTAGGCCACTGAGCCGGCATCCAACGGTGTTAATGTCTAACTTCAACTACCCCAAAAAACTGAGCGACATCATCAATGAGTTACTATGTCTCAACTGACCCGGTTGAACTGCACTGGTCACCGCTTCTCACTAGAACTCCGAGATATACATCTAGTGGTTAAGCGCTTGCACGCGGGACTGATAGGTTCTGGGTTCGAATCCAGTGAGGCGGGGTTGTGGATGCCCACTGCTGAGGAGTCTCACAGTAGGACGAAAGGACTGTCCAGTGCTTCCAGGTTTTCCATGGTGGTCTAGTTTCAATTGACTCATGATCACAACTATTGAAATTACTGCAATCTCCTTAAAACCCCTTCTGATACGGATTAACCTCAATTCGTTTTTATTACTAAATTTTCTGGTTAGCGTTTTTTTAGCGAGTTAGTTTTCTACGGGATGGGGACGCTAACCCCATGCCCAACCCTCCTCCTTTATCCGGGCTTGGGACCGGCAGTAGCCCCCGGAGGGACTCCAGGCGGAGTTCAATTCGTTTTTATTAAACGACGAATATTCTCGATTATGACATCAAATCGATTCAATATAAACTGGTAATCAAGCATACAATATCAATAAAATTGGTAGGAAGACAGAGGGTAATACATTAGTTCGTAAGGGGTGTCTAAATATTTAAATTGTCTTTTTAGTTTCTTTCCTAGAATTGTACAGTGAAATACTTTTCAAAAGAAACTAATAAATCTAAAATAATATCAAAATTCAGAATTTAGAGGAAACTGAAGTATTTATCTGACTGTGAAGTGATGTCGCTTAAAGTTTCCAACTACTAGTTATAGTTGTCTCACTAGACGTCAACTGGAAAGCCAGCACTTTTCTACACAACTCATACCAATAGTCAATGACTTCCTCAGTTGATGTCATATTTTAGAATGGTCCACTATAGCCTTTTTAATCTATCTGTTCTCTAGATAACATAGTGCTGAAGTAGACCATAAGGACTACGTATACGATTTACATCCTAATCACTTCATTCATTAAAGTTTCTTAATGCGATTTATCAGTTTACAATATGTGCTTATATTACCCTGAATTTAATCTCAATAACACTCACTTAGTGGTCCCACCACATTCAACCAATACTTGAACGACACCTTTACTTATATCCTCACAACCTATACACTTTCAAAGTATTTTCAATCGTTGTATTTCTCAACATTGAAGTAACCTCAATCAAATTAATACAAAATATAACGTCTTAGGATAGGCTATCCGTCATTAGTTTTGGTAATTTTTCTCAATATTTATTCAGGTATATATGTTAATGCAAAAAATTAACATCATGAACTCTCAGCTGATAATAAATTGAGTTAAAATCAATGCCAGAAATGGTTAAAATTCGTTCTACAATTATTTATTTTCAACGAAATGAAATACTAGAAAAAAGCAGGTTAGGAAAAATAAACGCTTTCACCTATATTCATAGTTCAGTGAACTACTAATAGTTACGCTATTTGCACAATACGCAAATTCATTTTAAGCTTTTCCATTCATAACTATTACGTCGACACAAGTAATTTATCATAACTGATAATGAGCAAAAATGGATAGTGACTAGCAATAGGGTCCATGACGCCCGTTTCTTCTTATTTGGAACTTGTCAGCTGGGTGTACCTGCATTTCAGAGTTGATGTTCACTCTGGAACTCGAACCCGGTACCGTTCACTTCAAACGCCATTGCGTTGTCCAGTTAGCTACTGAGTCCTGATAGCCACTTGCTTGTGCAATGGGGTGAAGTTTAAATTTACTTGGTATTGTTTACTTGAATCTTCCCATTGATATTTAAGACTGCAATTGATGAGTCTCTTATTCGCATATGTCCGTGCTGTGCGTATTGCGAGTCCCAGAGTGAACATAAACTCTGAGGTACAGGTAAATCCAGCTGACAAGTCCCACATAGGATGAAACGCGCGTCATGGATTCCACTGCTGGCCACTATCCATCCTTGCTTATAATGCTTGTGAATTAAGGCAATAACGGGGCTATGCGCGCAGTAAGCACATTTGCCAATAAGAGACTGGTCAATTGAAGTCTTAAACATCAATGGGAAGATTCAAGTAAACAATACCAAGTGAATTTATAACTGATAATGATTCTCAAGTTATTTATCTCATTGTAAAAAATAGGTTTCATTTTTTCGGAGTTGAACTAAGATTCAAAACTTCACGTTCCTTCCCATGAAATCTTTACTTAAGTTGTACATTCGTAGTAATAGTTATTTGATAAATATATAAATACGAGTGTATAACTTTAATAAATGATTTTGTCGAAAAGAAAACTTTCTTCGTTGAATCTTTTTTTACTAAATGAAATTAAGTTGTTTTGTTTCAATTATTCCTCACTATAGTAAAAAACTATATACGATATTAACATGAAGAATTATAAAACAATTAGGACCAGTAGAAGCTGTTACATAAGATCTCTTCAAAAATTTTCCCTATTCTTATTACTCCTGTTCCTATCTGAACCCAAATAATATCACGACTAAGTCACATACTAGCTTTAATTTCTGATTGTTTCTGATAAACCAACTCAGTAACATGATATTTACAACCTCATCGAGGACTTTTATATGCAGCAACGTGTGCTCATCTGATACACAGGTATCTTTTATGAAGTGACTACGTCATAAATTGATTGTTTTTCAGCTCTCATATTGTTTCCGTGACAACATACACTAGAATGGTTTATGTAAAATATTTCCGAGTCATTGGATCTATTTACTAAAGAACTACCTCCATCTTTCTTAAATACATTTCGTTTGACTTAAGCAATTTCGAGTCACCTAGACTACTGGCCACATTGCAACTTCGTCAATAGCATTCAATCTGCAATAAGAAGGACTTGACACACATGATATTGATCACCACCCAGTGATCAATCAATTGTGAATATGTATTACTTTCATAGTCTTATCGTCAAATGAAAATCAATATCTGTTGCATGTATTAAAAGGGAAATTCAAGACCCCAGAATTCCTGGACCCTTTATCCCAACAAAGCTATGTTAAATTGAGATGTGTGAATATAATTTCAAAAAAAGTAAACAGTTATCCGAAATCAGTACTTTCTGTCTTCAGCACATTATTTCTACTATCCACATTTTTTGCTTCCTCTAGAGGTGTGACTTAATACAATAAATCTTCTTGATCACTAGTCTGTGATTGTGACCTTAAATACTGTAATACATCTCAAAATAAATCAGATTTTATAAAACGGGACACTTGTTGTTTCTCATAACTGTTCTCCTTTACAAGTAAAATAGTTGGCAACTGCTAAGGTTAAATCTGTTGAATTATCTTGGGAAACCTTAAATATAGTCGACTCCCTTGTTCAGTTAGTTATTCCTGCACTCTGTACATATGCATTTACCATCAGTACAAAAGATTGAGACATTTCAAGACAATATTCGTTATTTCCTAACTAATACAGTCTATACTTTCTGTCATAATAAGTGGTTTACGTTGTAATCAATGTTTAAATGTGGATTGGATGTTAGTTATGGACATTTTTTTCCCTTGTAGCACTTATATTAGTGCTCACTATAGCTTTGTCATGTCATATGCATTTGTTCATCCTACACTATCACATGAATACAAATAAAATGATTTGAAAATTCACCATTCTCTCGATAGTATATGTACCATGTATTTTCAAATTGGCTTAAACAGTTTTTCTGTTTCTATTAGATTAAATAGGCTGAAAATTTTGGAAGGTATTTAAGACTTCTCTTTTGCCCCACTAACTAATTATGAGCCCTTTTAAGCGTATAATTCTTTGGTCTCATCAATCCTGGTTAGGCATTCTAAGCTTTGTCAAATGAATCAATAACCAATGGCTTAACTAATTATTATTTTATCTAGCATAATCACACTTCTTCCAGCATCACATTTCGCAGAAAATGATGATATCATGTATTTCACATTACCACATAAAGTTCATCACTGCTGAGGAGTCCCACACTAGAACGAAACGGTCTTCCAGTGCTTCCAGGTTTTCCATGGTGGTCTAGCTTAAATTGACCCATGAATCCAACTATTAAACTTACTATGATATCCACAAAACTCCTCTCTGATTTTAATCAAATAAGACCGATACATATTATGTAAGTCAGATGACAATATCCTGAATGCGTATTCAATCAGTCGTTTAATACCACTCGATAACTTGTCAGTCACTATCATCGTTCTCTTACTTCTACAATATAACATCTGTTGCAAAATCACTTCGTGTTGAAAATCTATTTGTATTATTTTTTCGCTAAGCAATTAATAAACTCCTGTTCTCTCTAAATGTCTTGTGAATTGATATGTTGATAATGGTTGCTTATTTTATTGTGTTTAATTATATAATGATAATGACATGTTCCAAAAACTAGTAAAGAAAGGTAGTCAATTTACAGGCACAATCAGGTTGATACAAGTTACTAGGTAACAATAATAATAAATTTAAGTTTATACTTTCCAAAAAGATGAGGTTTCTAGGTTACTTCCGAATGACTATTTTGGACAAAATTTGAAATAATAAAATTTGTATAATTTTATTGAAAATTTATTAAATGTAATGTGTCAATCATATTAAATTCAACATTGAATTCCTTAGTTAATTTTTGTTCTTTAATATGTTTATCACCTTATTAATTCACATATTGTATTGTATTTTGACCTTAGAGAGTATTTTCATGGCCTAGTCGTCGGATTCCATTAATAATTATACAAATGTTAATTGCTAGTGGTACATTATGTTGTCTAAGTTGGATTACCAATCATAATGCTTCTTTAGTAAGTGCAAGTTCTTTTTTTCTTTTTCTGATATTCATGTTTGCGGTATAGAAAAGTATCATGCATAGTTCACCAAGTGCAGTTTCATTCATGTATTTGACTTTAAGTGCTGTTAGGACTTGTCAAAATTATCGGTATGGGGTTGTGTAGATTGTTGAGTTTCACTGAAATCATGAGCCGATCGATGTTAAACCACCATTAAAAACCAGAAATTAATGGACTGTCGTTCCGCTCTAGCATGGGAATCCTCAGCAATCTGCATCCACAACTCCTCACGTGGGGATCGAACCCGAGACCTTTGATCTTGCGCGCGAACGCTTAACTTCTAGACCGTTGAGGCAGGATCTGACGGTGTTAATGTCTAACTTCACTCAATCCACGATATTGACACAATGTGGTCACGGCTACTGGTATTGTGTTGTGCGCTACTGATGTCGACAGATATAAGTTGTATGTGTCACCGATTGAAAGTGAAATGCCTGGTGGCAGAAGGTTAAAAAGATCGAGAAGAAGAGAATGGGAACAGAGAATGATTGGCGTGTAAACGAAGGAACAACCAAGTCTAAGTTAATTGATTAAAATTTTGCAAATGAAGTATTCTCTGCATGGTTCTATGATTTTATTGAGAAATTCTGTAATTTTGTGTTCAAATATATTTGGTTGTCCCCACTGGTGTTCTCGTTCACTACAATATGACTAGCTGTTGTAACTCCCGAGTAAACAGCTATTTACTACTTATTACAACAGAACAAAACTAATGTGGCTAGATTCGAAGAAAAATACGACGTAAGAGATGAAGACTTTTACTTGCATCAAACACATATCAAAATGTACAGTGTAATATATGTCATTTTTAAATATCCGACTAATAACTTAATTTAAGTGCATCAAGCTGTCAGTAGTCAATGTTAATTAACCAGTTATTTAATTTATCTATTTAATTTTCAAAATCAGTGTTTCAAACTGCCTGTACTGATAATTATAACTAAATTACTGAGTTATACGTTGTGCTCCTTTCTAATAGACATATTTTATATGAATCCGTATAATACCAACCAGTTGTTTATGCAATAAGGTGAGGAAAGCAATGCTTGAACCTACAGTTCAATTACTGAAAGTCATTTTCTTTAAGCACAAAGTCATCAATTCACTTCTTGTTAGTTAGCCATGGATGATAACTCGATATTGAGTCTATAAGTATGACAACTTGATAGTCTGGTCTCATTTTCATTGATTAATGATGATGATGATGAATGGTCTACAAGATTGTATTATACAATTAATTCTTAAAATAATTTCTATATTGTTGGAAAATAGCATTGTTATCTTCACACATCTATTTAAAATTTGAATCTCTAAAAATTAATTAGTGTCTACTTGCTAAATAATATAAATTAGTGTGTTATTTTCAGTAACATTTCACAATTAATCTCTATTTTTATCTTCATAATTGTAGGACTTGATACAAAAAATTTGTCAATTACACTTATCTGTTTTCGTTATTCGATTTTTATTAATCATGATGAGATTCTTCCTCTATATTCTAAACAAGAGTAAAATAAGTCAAGTTTTAAATATGTTTTGCTCTTAGAAATCTTTTATCTTTGATAATATTTTATAGTTTAAGATCATATATATGCTCTACTAGTTACGGTTTATGAAATTGTAGTGATTAGTGAAATGGTTAGCGATCATGAGCTATGCGTCTCATGTTACATTTGATCTCATTTTATAATCCTGTCTAAAGTAGGATCATGTTTAAAACGTAAAGGGGAATATTTCGAAACTTATCTAATATCTCTTCCAAACTGCATAACTAGAATTACTAATATAAAATTTTTAACTTTTATACAGTAATAATAGGAGTACAAACCTCAAGAACAATTCTTAGTGTAAATCACTGTCTAAATTTATCCGATAATCACTGATCGTCCTACCATGGGACTCACCAGCAATGCACACCCGTTCCCCTTCAAGAATTGAGCTGTATGTCTCACTCTGGAAGCCTGACTTTTAGATCACTGAATTGACGTCTAATTATTCATATTTCTAATTTCAATCAATTCATGATATTGCGCGGCCATCATCCATTGTCATCAGTGATACACATCTCACGATATGATTCAATTACGTTAATTACAACTACGGGAATTTCTGTTAAGGTTACCCATTGGTGAGCCCAAGGTCAGTGGAAGATTGCTCGAATAGAACAGTTTACGGCATTTATGAACATGTTTATTAAAGTTTATTCATTTATGAAAACCATTGGATAATCTGATTGGATTTTCTCTTTAACCTTTTCTTTTTAGACTATACTCCTCATTATCAGCTTGGTACTTGGTATTACTGTTATCGGGACAATTGCTTTATGTGGTGTTTTAGCTGTTGAACTTGCTCCACCTGCTTTTAGCGGTACTGCACATGCGTTGAGTGCTTTGATTGCGAATTGTGAGTGATTATTTTTAAATAACTTTTTTAGATGTGAATCAAGCATGCAGGTCAAGAAAAAAATGAATCTTTAGTTTTGAATCTAACCACTTAGACGGAATTAGATTAATTGCGAATTTACTCAGCAGCCCTTCAGCTGGATGTTAAACGCCCTTACGATTAATCTAATGCCCATTCTTTTTTGGTTATTTATTGGCCTCTGGAAATTACGGAAATCAAAAGAAACTATGTTGGTTTCTCTAACAAAATCTTTGTTAATTCAAAATCACATGGAATAGTTTTGTTCTGTTTCAAATATGATCGACTTGGAAATAATTATTTCACTTTATTAATTATATATTTACTCTGCAGGCAACCAGGAACTGACAACCATCCACACACCTTTAACAGTACTCAAAATCACCTCAAATCACTAGGGTTTTTATTTTAATTTGCAGTTCAATCACATGAGCGAATTCCTTACCTACTTGCGACTGTTACTCCTTGTGTAGAAGCATAGGCCACCCACCAGCATTTTCCATCGAACTCTGTTTCGGACAATTCTTCCCAGCTGCTGTTTGTTCTTTTCGTATCTGCTTCCAGTTCCTGGCGCAATGTGTTCTTTGATCTTCCTCTTTCCCGTTTCCCTTCAGGACTTCAAGTTAGCGCTTGTCTCGTGATGCAGTTTGATAGTTTCCTCAATGTATGTCCTATACACCTTCATTATCTTTTCCTAATTTCCTCTTCATATGGAAGCTGATTTGTTCTCTCCCACAGTAGAATGTTGCTGATGGTATCCGACTAACGGACATTGAGTATATTGTGTAGACAATTGTTTATAAATACTTATACATTTTTGATGATAGTTGTGATAGTTCTCCAAGTTTCGGCTTCGTACATTAAAACTGTCTTGACGTCCGTATTGAAGATTCTCACTTTGATGTTGATTGTTTTGAGTTCCATATGTTCTTCAACCGTAGGAATGCTATTCTTGCTTTGCCAATCCTTGGTTTTACGTCTGCATTAGATCCTCCTTGTCCATCGATAATGCTGCCCCGATAGGTACGTGGAAGATTGTACCTCATCCAGAGCTTCTTCATCAAGTGTGATTGAGCTGGTGTTCTCTGTGTTGTATTTGAGTATGTTGCTTTTCACTTGTGTATGTTGAGGCCTACTGATGCGTGGTGAGCAAATTAATGTAAACTAAACTCCGTTCGTATGTATAATGGAATAGTAATTCCTTAGATATTTGGGCAAGCTTTTTCACTTTTAACCGAAGGTTCTCATATAGGGAGAATTTTCCACTTAATCGAAATGAAGTTCTATGAACTCATACATTCCCTTGATGAATTTCCTACACACGATCTCTTGTTTTTGATGTATGTTTATTCTAATTAGGAACGTCAAACTAAAATGAATTATCTGTCCAGTGCTCACTGATTGTCAATTATTTCTTTGCTAATATCAGTTTGTGATAAAGAGCTAACTTTACATTGGGTTATGTTGACGAAGCTGTCACTTAGATTAGTTGTTTAGTGTCCAAGAATTCCTTGAAAAATGTGAGAAATTAGGCACTTAATGTTTTGAATGTTGACCGTCTTTTGACCTATTTATAATTTTCCTGACTGTAGTTGAACAGATTCATTGAACTAACAAATGATTTTTCCAAAGGATTATTCTACTTTGTTGACTTTATTATTTCATATTTTTTTCAAGGATTTTTTTGAAGTCCTATATTTTATCAAACTCCGCCTGTAGCTCTTCTAGAGTTACTTCCAGTCCCAAACCCGGGTAAAGAATGAGGGTTGAGCATGGAGTTAGGGACCCCATCCCGTAGAAAACTAACTCGGTAAAAAAACCCTAACCAGAAAAAAATAATTCAAACCATTTAAAGTCTGTCCTGGGAGTTAGAAGGCCTTCATTTAGAAGAAATATGACGCCTCATGGTGAAAGCCAAGCTCCTTCGGAAGCCATGAGGCCGATGCCCCTTCTAACAACCAGAGCAACAATTTTTATGGGTACATGGAACGTCCGGACAATGTGGGAGACCGGAAAGACCAGTCAAATAGCAACGGAAATGAGGAGATACAACTTGGCAGTACTGGGAATCAGCAAAACCCATTGGACCCAAGCTGGACAACAAAGGCTAAATACGGGAGAGATGCTGCTATACTCCGGTCACGAAGAAGGAAATGCTCCACACACTCAGGGAGTTGCTCTAATGCTGTCCAAAGTAGCACGGAATGCACTTGTACGATGGGAATCTCACGGATCCAGAATCATCAAAGCATCATTCAAAACAAAGAAGGAGGGGATCACAATGAATATTATTCAATGTTATGTACCCACCAATGATAGTAACGACGACATTGAAGATCAATTCTATGAGAGGCTGCAATCAATCATAAAGAAGTGCCCAAGAAATGACCTCACCATTCTGATGGGAGATCTAAACGCCAAAGTCGGAATAGACAACACCGGATAGGAGGATATCATGGGACGACATGGATTGACTAGGTTGGATAGGTGTAGGTAAGTATGTATATATTATCACGCAACAGTTAACGTTGCCCTACAAGTTTACATTTGTCAGTGGAAAACATCAACGTATTAAATACCTTAGTTCTTAAATCAATTTTATTATCTGTACATTTCAGTTGGGGCTATATTGGCTGGTTACCCATTTGCTGTGTTGGCTGAACATATCAACTGGTCTGGTGCCTTTCTTGTAGCTGGGATAGTATGCGGACTTTCAGTTATTCCACTTTCATGTTTTTGAGATTTCCAACTCATATGTTCTTTTATTAATGTAGATTATTTTACAATTGTTTTTAGATGATGTGCACTTTTTTTCATTTTTAACATTTCTTGGTATTACACGTTGAATATCAGATGAATTCAAACTTTCGTGGTTGTGGAATTTCCTGTTTTTACACCAATTTTGCATTTCATGGAGTTACAAATCCATACTATTGCTCCGAATTATATTTTTTGCCAATGGGAGTGTTTACACTTTATTTTCACTCAAATTCAAATAAACAATGTCTCTAAATGCATGTTGTTGCTTCAGGACTGACCTGCGTCAACACCTGAACTAAGGATGGGGAGTGAAGTAGTGGAACGCGTTGACAACTTCACTTGTCTTGGAAGTCTGATCAGCCCTAATGGATTAATGTCTGACGAGATCTCAGCACGGATTCGAAAAGCTCGCTTGGCGCAGGGTATTAGGGAAGGATGATAAATCAGTCGATGAGGTTGTAAATCTTCATCGACTGAGATGGTTGGGCCACGTGTTACGTATGCCCGAACACCGATTACCACGACGTGCAATGCTAACCGGTGTTCGGGATGATTGGAAGAAAGTTAGGGGCGGCCAAACCAAAACGTGTCATCAGTGCTTGAAGTCACTAACTTCTAGTCTGAGCCATGTTGGTAGATGCAGACTACTTGGTTGGGGTCCGTGTGACTATCGTAACCAATGGTTGGAGACTGTGTGTGAAATGGCTCAGAATCGATCACAATGGCGTCGGTGTATACACTCTCTGTCTTCTCTTAAACTAAGAGATTAAAATTGCTTCATATCTTTCTTTCTACGAACTAATTCTTTCTTCCTGTACTATATCCTTATTGCAATCTCTCTTTTATATATTACCACCTCTGAATTAACTACTTTTATGAATCTGGTGTCCATCTTGTTGTGTTAATGAGGTATGGCAACTTGGACCGATGCATATATGTGCCTGGTCCTACGTTGTACAACTGACTGATAAGTTGATGTATATTAATCACTGGATATCTCAATACTCTTAAAAGTAGGTATTCCGTCCCCATTGTTTGGTTGGAATACTTTTTTCGATCATTACCATTGTTCGGTTTCAAAGAAATCCTGAGTTGCTGCCCCTTACTACTATTTGTGTTGCTGTGGTAAACTCATCACGAAATCAAGGATTCCATCGTTTATTAAACATGAGTGGATACACAAGAGTAGTAAATACTTACGGATAAAGATCGACTATGTCTGATTTTAGATTATTTGGTTAACCACTTCAGTTGTTTCTACGTTCGGTCTAAGGAAATCTGTTAATTAATGATTGGGGAGCGGGGAGGAAAACAACATAAAACGTAGTATGTCATTGGGAGAGGACGAAAAAGTATACAGAAGATGCTACAGTAAACTGATTGCGATTTCGGAAGTCAGGTCTTGAGGATTTTGCAGACGGGGAATAATTTATGGGGTGACGTGTATTGAAGTTATCAAAATAATGTTATGAGTATAGACAGTTAGATCTACTCAGTTATTGATCATGTATTAGAACAGTTCTGAAGTAGTAATAACTGAAGCCTAGTACTAGATGACTTCGGTAAGCATGGTATGTACGGAACAGACTTGCCCTTGATTACATTTAAATGGTACATTGATCAGGTTTCTTATAATTTTGGTGGGATGTACTTAAGTATGTATCCAAATCTTAGACATTATGGTTGGAGAAATTATCTTCGTTATCAGACCTCGCACTGTATCACGTAGTTGCGGATATTATGTCTTGATTATGTACTTCAGCTGCCAAACCGTGACTATCCGGTCTCATAATTCAGATTCAGGAATCATAAACGCATGCGAACCCACAGATATATGGGGGGCCGCAACCTCACACATGCTTGTATGTAAATCCCACATGCCTGCGTTCTACATGACAACATTCCTTCTTTTCCCTCTGCATGAAATACTTCATTTATCTATATTAGGTTCATACATCATTTGTCTGCACTAATTCTGGCGCCTATATATGGAGTTGATTCTTTGAACAACTGTTTCATCTCTGCTTTAATTGACTTTTAACGCATCTCTTTTTGGACTTGTGTACTTCGCAATTTTACTGTATGGACTGATTTCTCTTCCTATCACTTGTACTGGGATGCTTTTCCTGTTTTTTTTAAAGAATATTTGTTGTTGTTAACCGGTAGTTCATTGTATACTTTTTGTATTTCTTGCATAATTCTTATTTTATAGTTGATTGCTAAACTTTGAGGCAAGTTAAACTGATTTACATTTTTTCTTTAGATGACATGTTGTTTCTTGATTGGTGCGGTTGTTAGATTTGTGTAGTAAAACAAAAGATAGACAATTTTTCAGTGATTACATTTTAGCTTTCGAATGAGGTTTGAAGAGCTCTGGAATCAGTTGTATAGTTACGGATTGCATGACATTTTCAGTTATGGGAAGTAGTCTTTGAGATTACCAGGTACCTTCTCCTCCTGGGATGAAAAAGGTCGTCTAAGGGACGATTGTAGAGTACCTGCTTTATTAAATGTAAGCAAATTCATAGGGAGAGGTCCGACTTGTACTTTCGCGTAGTGCTCCCTGGATAGTAGGTGATCACCATCCCATCAACTGACGCAGGCGGCACAACAGAGTCTGAACTGACCGCCAAATCTTCACAAAGCGGTGGAGTCGGGTTTATTGCCCACACTATCCTAATTCTGATTAGCGGGATGAGAAAAGTTAACCTCGAACCGATAGCGCAGTTGTGGTGCCTTGGGAAACTTCATTTTGATGTCTTTAAGTCTGATAGGGGCAAGCCAGATCGTTAACCACAAACCGCAATGTAACCAGCGCACAGTGGTCGGCACTCAAACTATTTGTGGTGTGAATGTGAAGTGAGCACGTCGTCTGTGACGACTTATTTGCGTACTGATTTAAGTGCTAGATATTCATTCAGTGTAAAAAGCTGCTGAACTGCACCCTAGAGTGGTCACAACCATACCTCTATGTATCCTTTTGAGTATGTGGCCGTCGTTATGTGTTCTGTATTTGCATGTAGCGCATGCATGCAAGGGAAAAATTCCCTATCTGTATATGGGCTTGCTTGCTCAATTCTATGACTCCACGTAACTTAATTAAAGGGCTTTTAGACTTTTAGGGTCGGCAACATATCACTTATCTCCAGTATGATCTACTAAGCTAGACTTTTTCTACACGAGAGAATAACGAACATTTTGCTGGATATTGTGAAGGTCGAGGACGGCTAGTTTGGATTGATCAACACACTTCGTGAGACTGGCGCACACAGTGGCAAGTCGTTACTGTTCATCCTCCCTTCCCATTCTATCGTGATGAAATGCAGTTATTTATGTGACGTGGTTCTATTTATTATCGAATTGTGCTATGAAAGCAGGATAATGTGGCTACCACGTTGGGAAAACTCAGTCCACACATTTGTCGTTTCATGAGAATTTGACCAAAGATCATACAGGATAGGCGGTCATACTATCCTCATTCTCCTCAAGTAAACTTAATGTCCGCAGATTTTAAATCTTCTGAATCGAATTGCGATCACGAATACCTTCAAGCGGTAAATATAACGTCCTACAGATATTGCTCATAAAGATTTGAAATTCATTTACAAATTATCTCGAAATGACAGGTACCTTAGTGGTGCCCGATGCCACCTTATCCGTTCTTGAAGTTATATCAAGTGTTGTCTCACTTCATTGCATCGCATATCAACTAAATACGGTTTATAACTTCTTGTGAATTATTTGACAGCAACCTGCTATCAACCACTATTCTGTATGTACTTATGCAATGTATCGCGAAACTGACACATTGATTTGGAACATGAACAGTCATTGCCGGATGTTGTGTTTACACACCACTGTTACAATGTTGTTGACGTTCGGCACCTCCTCCTACTGGCAAGTAGTAATCACACCGTACTTCTTAGGTTTTGGACACGGTTTACAGCATATGTCTGCTCCACTCCGTTTCCATGTCCTGCGGTCGTAAATTGTGCTGTGTCAACAGACTGGTTGGCCGATTCAGATGGATCGGTCGAATGTTAATGGAATAAATTTAAAGCCACATTCGAGTCTGTAACACCATCGTACATCCAAAGGTCAACACGTGAGCCATCACCTTGCCTTCTATGGATTGACAAGCAAACCCGAATGCTCCGACCTAGGAAACAACTCTGTGACTTATTCATATCGACAGGCCACGAATCCTTTGAGTGCGAATACCAAAAGATCCGAGATATACGTAAAGAGAAAATTGCCAGATGCCGTACTGATTTTGAAAGACAGTTAGCACATGATAGCCGTACCTGCCTAGAAGATTGTTTTTGTCAGTTAAACCCCATCACTATTGCACGAAAATTTAGATTTACTCGCTAGATCAGATATGGTCAAACCTGGGACTTTATCAAACTACTTCCTCTAAGTCTACTCTACGGGTATTGTTACCAGCCTATGATCACATTACTGAGATTCAAGCTATAGGACCTGTATGTGTGACTGAGGACGCTGTTATTCAAATGAACATTAACCTCAGACCTAGTAAGACACTGACTCCCTGATTGTGGACATCATTCGAGGGCCACTCGCGATGCTCTTCAAAATATCCTTTTACCACAATCAAATCCTTAGGGATTAGAAAATGCTATCTTAACCCCATATTTAAATATGGAAAGATAAAGATCATGTTTAACTACCAACCTTTCAATCTAACCAGGATAGTAGTTAAGTTGCTTGAAAAAATAAGTTGGTAAGAAACTTCCTCTGTAGCCGAAGACGGAGTGAGTGTAAACACGACACTATCTGAATAGAAAAGCAGTGCACTCCAAGGCTATATTTTAAGTTCCCTAGTTTTACTCTTCGTCAATGAATTACCGCGAATGCTTGAGTCATCGACACTTGTTTGCAGATACTGTCAAGTTAGATAACTACAAGTAGTAAGGTTGTTCATCTTAGTTGCGAAGCTGACATACACAAACTAGTCAATTAGTCACATATTTCGAGTTCACACATTAATTCCGAGAAAAGTGTGGTCATCCATATCTGGTACGGTAATAGTTATCAGTATGCCATTGACGGTATATCACTTCGTATGTGCAGGAACACAAATACTTAATGGTGATAGTACATTACGGCTTGGAAACAACTTCACATTACAACGCAACAGTCGCCAAAGATTTTCGAGCGTGGTGGTCACTTTACTGAGCTTACAAGTTCTTTGACAAGTTGTTTCGAGTTCGGTATCCCACCTTTGTAAGATCACACCCACAGTACTGTGTACAAGCAACCAGTTCATGTCTTATAAAAACACCAAGTCACTTGAGCGTAATCGGCTTGTGGGAAAGAATTAGTGAAGGTTCTTTCGAACTCTTTTATGATGAACGCTCAAAACTCCTGAACATTTTCCCATCATCTTATCGTAGGACTCCAGGTGAACTTATATTGGAATTTCGTATCTTTAATAACCATTTTAGTGTTACGATATCTGAACTTTGTGCTCCTCTTAGCACTAGTAATCTTCAAAACATTATCTCGAGGGTTCAAAAATGCAATTTAATAAGCTCCGAGTGTGGTTTCGTTTTTCTCATCGAGTGTTTTGCCCGAATCATAGTTATCAGCCCCATCAGTGAACGTTTTCATTAGAAATGTGAACTAAATGACAAGCTGTAAGGATTAATACAGGTCTACTCATCTACTATGTTACGACTGAAGACTGAGGATTAGTGATTGAAAGCGGTAATAGCAAGACCTGCGCTACTTCGTGACGTGTTTGTTTTATTTTAAGCTATGGTAAGAGTTTCGGTGCGATATAGTCCCCATTTGACTCCAATATTTAAGGCAAAAATCTCCATAAATTATTTTCATGGTGACGGCGTGGGTAAATAACTATATATTACCCCGGATATTCGTCCTACACATTGTCGTCCAAAACTTATCTTCCGAGGCAGTTTATTTAGTGTTAATTTCCTATACCCATAATAAATAAAATCGAACAAAATTAAGCTAAAAGTGATCTTTCTCGTCTGCTTACCACAACCTAATTCTTCTATTTATTCCCCAACGTTTATTATTATTATTGTTAATGTAGTTTAATAAGACGATCTTAATAGTATGAGTGCATAACTTTTCTTTATGTAGTTGGCACTAAAATTAGCATAGAAGTTTACTTGTCTCCTGGAGTTTCTCGCCTTTTTCATGTCTCTGTCTTACGTCAACTGATATCTGGTTTACTTGCGTTTTCTCAATAATGACTATGTATTTTTTGGAGACTTATGTATGTAAATCTATTCTTAGTAAATGAAATTTGTTCCGTTAAAGACCGCTTCAAGTTCACGTTATATGGATATGATTAAAAATAGGGAATCCATCTGTTCCAATATATGTGTTTTTATTCGGTTTCTAAATATCTAACCTATATCCTTTAAGATGCTTAGTTGTGAATTTAAAGTCCCTAAATACTTTGAAGTTAATTTAAAACGAAGATTAGTACATACCTTTTTAAGCTTTTAGACTGAGACCAGCAAATTGATTCTGATGTTAGCCGATTGTAGCAATAAAAGTCTCATTTACGTACGTATATTGCACATCAAATTTATTTTGATAATCTATCACAAAATCTTACCTTTCTTAGATAATTGTTTTCATCCAACTATTGGTTTAGGTTTCTGGCATTCAAACTATTGATACTAACCATGAAGACATGATAGTAAGTTTTTTTAATATTTCAAATACTGTCGAATTCTTAGCATGATGCTCAGTTGGACTACTATGGAACAACTCTAGCAACAGCTTCGTCTGATCATTCAGTTAAAATATTTGATGTCCGTAACAAGAAACAAGTTCTTATAGCTCACTTACGAGAGTATGTTTTAAGCGATTTTGAGTTAATATTACCATAAACTTTTGAATGTATTTTAACATTAGAGATATTACCACCATCCCAAAGTATTTATTAACTTCCTTATTTTATATTTCCGGGAGTCTTATCTAGAAGATGGATAGACTTCATCTTGTAGGTCGTCATAACAAATGTTCCTAGTCATGTGATTAGAAAATTCTGAAAATTACCTATGTTAGGTGCTTTGGTTCGGTTTCTTGGACAGTATTTCATCTCGTAAACAAATGTCATTATATTCATTAGGAAACTACTCTATTCCCTCTGCTTAGCTACCTACTTAAGCGATGCATTCACTAATACATATGAGTTTATTTTATTTTGTTTTGACCCATTCTGTTTTTTATTACCATTTCACTCATACTTTTAAGCACTGGGTTTACGTCGGTTCTTTACAACTTATCGAGGGATAATGATCTTCCATTCAACAGTACATATAGATTCTTATGTCAGATCGCATAAAACGTGCGCGCGAACTCATATGCCTGGTTTTCAGCACGTGGTAATGAGTTGAACAGAACTACCAGAAAATGCTCCAACTTTATCTTAGTTTTTTTTTATTTAAACACATAAACATTGATACAAGGAGGCACGAAATAGATATGCACCACACAAATCATTCGTTTTATGTTAGGAGTAGGATACTGCCCGGGTGCCCGAACCGAAGTAGATGGTTTTACTAGGTGGTCAATCCTCAAACATTTGACCTAAAGGAGCAACGTTAGGAGATGCAGTAACATGGTAACTGGTGGCTAACAACAGTTTCATACGCCTTTTGTTTCTTCGGGATTCTGGAGCTGATGTGCACCATTAGTTTGGGACCAGGGTTTCCTAACTTCCCTATGTGGATCCTCCGTATTCACTTACCCGGTTAAGGCGCCGGACATTCTCTGAGAGATGCTAGATCCCCAGAAATCACCTGTTAAACGCCTTATTTTTGCAATTTTATTTTGTACACTTGAATTTCCCGTTTTCGCGCCAATAGCGCTCATTTTTACCTTCAGATTGTATTTCTCACTTGAAAAGACTCTAGATGTTATTGGTTTGTTGGCTCTTTTAATACGCTGTTTTGTGACGCTTTCCATGGACCTCTTTATACTATATATATATGTACTTAAGTTGCATGCTTGGTTTGTTCGGGCTTCCGGCTGCTTTGGGAATATACCTTTCGTCCTAACCTGGTCTTCTCTGTTTAGTTAGCAGGCCTGGAACCCATCGGCATAGTTGAGCTTGTCTCGTCGCGATGTTACTGACCCTTCGTTCCATTCGCTGATTTAGGTGATCTCATAATCTCTTCAAACATAGTACATTCGCCTTTCGTCTTCTCAATTTCGTAAACAACATCCCTGCCGCGAGAAGGCAGTGACTAAGACTTCCCTGACAGTGGCTGTATACGCGTGACTATGTGAGAGCATTTAGAGAGAGAGCTTGCTTTATACACCCTTGGCCGTATCAGGGCATTTGGGAGCATTCCAACTGATTCAAGACACTGGGATCAAGAAGTCTGATTTCAGTTTAGTAACCTCTTAAGTTGGCAGCACGTTAGTTAGTAACATCCAAAGGCGCCTATGAGGATTGGCGGGATTTTTCGGGGAACATTTCATCTGGTTTGTGTCCTGAGCAATGTCGATCAGACTGTTTTGTTCCTCAACCAGTGACTACCATTATGTCTAAGCTAACAACGCGGAGGCCTGTAAAGAGGCCCAGCTTTTGAAGCACTAAACTTTTATATTTAAAAGTCGAAATTAATCCTGATAAAAATATTCGTTCATAAACCGACTGCATCTTCAACACTTTCTGTCGGTGACTTACATGACACCAGGTCATACATACACAAAATACATGATTCCGTGTGGTCACTCGTATACAGTTAGTTTTTTTCTTAATCAATAACATTTTTTAATTTAGTCTAGTTGTTTACAATTTCTTCGCCGCATTTATGCATGATATAATTTCCATTTGAAAATTTTTCGTGTAAACTAATCTTTGGTTGTCTAGACGTATTTCATACACATACAATCATCAGTTTTATTTACTAATCATTTTCATGTAGTCATCAAGGACCTGTTTGGAGTTTAAGTTGGTCCCATCCTATGTATGGGAGTTTATTGGCCTCTTGCGGTTATGATCGTAAGGTGATTATCTGGCAAGAAATCAATGGACGATGGGGAAAAGTCTTTGAGTATGCTGAACACGCTAGTTCAGGTTAGATATAACTACAATACTTTGAAACTATATATAATCGTGTACCAGTATGAGATGACTAGTATCACAATTTTAGTATATTTTGAGCCATCAGTAAGTTGACAATTCAGTGTTTTCGATTGTTTAAGCAATAACTGTTTCTCATACAAGTCCATGAAGGTGATTCAAAATACGTTTTCATATATGTAATCCCACGTGTTCGCCATTACTCCTTTTGAACTTAGTAAACTTTTTCTATCTGTATGGGGAAGTTAATACGTTAGTGATCTCGAAGATCCTAAAACTAACATAGTCATAGGTGTTTTATCCAAAGCTTTCGTGATGGGATGTCAGGGCTTATTTTTTTCGTACATAACAGCCCTCATCATATTTTGGCTAACACAAGTGTGCATAATTTCTTATATTATCTTGGCCATAAACATTCCAATCACTTACTTTCGATTATTTGTTGAACTTAAGATTCTGTACCTTCTACGATATTTTGCAAACTATGTGTCACTTTATAATTGTTCTTTTCAGAGTTTTCTTGAAATTTAAATCCGATTAATCACCACAAAGTTCAAAATCATCACTTGTATATTATTTTTAAGGTTGCTTTATAAAAATTTAATCCTATGTTTGTAGCGCCGCGCAAGCCGCACTTGCACGCTTAATATCTTTTTAATAATGCATCCACTAACTTCAAGCGGATTAATAAATTGATATTTATGTATGGACACTACAGTAGTAAATTTTTCCCTTCAAACAAACTTTTTCCTTAATTTAACATAAAATGGATGGGAAATTATTTTAAATGAGCACTAATCATCAACAAATCTGACTCACTGATTCCTGGAACTCTTAGCTACTTTTACTGAAAACAAGTAGAAAGGTAATAATGTAAGCAACAATTCTCTTCAAAGACTTAAATGCAAGCCAAAAAATAATTCTACACACGAATAACTTTCCCAGAAACTAATTAGGTATTTTGAAAACACTTGGTTTTTGTAGAGATAAGGTAGGTTATTGTAGACACTCGGTCGTCGAAGTTTTGTGTTACAAATAAGTGATTTAACTTCAGGACATTTGCATTTGGTTAACTCTACAGCTCTTAGTCTTGTTCTCCAAAGTCATCCACCGTTTGTTTTTTATTTAATAGTCAATTGCGTTTGTTGGGCTCCTCATTCTTATGGACTAATGCTAGCATGTGCCAGTTCAGATGGGACAATCTCCATCCTTATATCAGACGAAACGAACTCTTGGCGTGCCTTTCGAATCCCAGAAGCACACTCCGTAAGTGGTAGTATCAGCTGTGAGTTTTATGGCCTCCTTGAATTTTTACCAAGTCGACCCCGTCATTGTTTAAAGCACATAGATTGGACATTATTATTGAAAAGCCATCGATATTACTTTTCGGAAACATAACAAACTACTAACAAACACTTTAGTAGTACAAAATGTATTATGTTCTAAGAGTGCATTTACAGTTTATTCAGAATGGATTCCATTAACATCGGCCTTGCATAGACCGAATCACGACACTACAGATCATCGTTAAACGATAAATTGAATGGAACTCATAACTATACACCAACTTCCTTGATTATTAGAAAGCATTTGGCAGTGCGGATTGAGGGACATTATGGAACCGTTTTCGACACTATGGAGTACCTGGGAACATCGTCAACATCATACGGAATTCATACAACGGACTACATTGCGAAGTCGTGCATGGAGGACAGCTGATGGATACATTCCTAGTAAGGACCAGAGTCAGAAAGGGTTACTTACTTTCCCCTTTCTCTTTCTTCTGATAGTTGACCGGATTATGAAAACCTCCAAATTTGACGGGAAACACGGAATACATTGGACAGCTCGGAATCAACTAGAAGATTTGGACTTCACAGAAGACCAGGCTCTTCTATCCCATACACAAGAACAAATACAGGTGAAGTCAACTAGTGTAGTAGCAGCCTCTGCATCAGTTGGCCTCAACATACACAAGTGAAAAGCAACATATTCAAATACAACACAGAGAACACCAGCTCAATCACACTTGATGAAGAAGCTCTGGATGAGGTACAATCTTCCACGTACCTATCGGGGCAGCATTATCGATGGACAAGGAGGATCTAATGCAGACGTAAAACCAAGGATTGGCAAAGCAAGAATAGCATTCCTACGGTTGAAGAACATATGGAACTCAAAACAATCAACATCAAAGTGAGAATCTTCAATACGGACGTCAAGACAGTTTTAATGTACGAAGCCGAAACTTGGAGAACTATCACAACTATCATCAAAAATGTATAAGTATTTATAAACAATTGTCTACACAATATACTCAATGTCCGTTAGTCGGATACCATCAGCAACATTCTACTGTGGGAGAGAACAAATCAGCTTCCATATGAAGAGGAAATTAGGAAAAGATAATGAAGGTGTATAGGACATACATTGAGGAAACTATCAAACTGCATCACGAGACAAGCGCTAACTTGAAGTCCTGAAGGGAAACGGGAAAGAGGAAGATCAAAGAACACATTGCGCCAGGAACTGGAAGCAGATACGAAAAGAACAAACAGCAGCTGGGAAGAATTGTCCGAAACAGAGTTCGATGGAAAATGCTGGTGGGTGGCCTATGCTTCTACACAAGGAGTAACAGTCGCAAGTAGGTAAGGAATTCGCTCATGTGATTGAACTGCAAATTAAAATAAAAACCCTAGTGATTTGAGGTGATTTTGAGTACTGTTAAAGGTGTGTGGATGGTTGTCAGTTCCTGGTTGCCTGCAGAGTAAATATATAATTAATAAAGTGAAATAATTATTTCCAAGTCGATCATATTTGAAACAGAACAAAACTATTTCAGGTGATTTTGAATTAACAAAGATTTTGTTAGAGAAACCAACATAGTTTCTTTTGATTTCCGTAATTTCCAGAGGCCAATAAATAACCAAAAAAGAATGGGCATTAGATTAATCGTAAGGGCGTTTAACATCCAGCTGAAGGGCTGCTGAGTAAATTCGCAATTAATCTAATTCCGTCTAAGTGGTTAGATTCAGTATCTATAATATTAACTTCAGTCATCATCCAACGCCTAACTAAAGCTTGTGAAGAACAAACCCGAGAAAACCGGGCTGTTTTCAGACCTGAGTGTGGATATGTTGACTAAATATTTACCTTTCACCAGGTTCTGAAATATAAACTTACCTACTGACTCCTGGCCACCGTTGTATTTTTCGAATTTAAGGCAAGGTTAGAATCAGTAGGTCGACAGGTTTTATGCCAATGTCCGTCATCGAAAGGCATACCAAAGAAGTACATTAATTTTGTACAGACTCTCCACTTGAACACCACTGCTCGAGTCAACTTTTGGTGAACTGTCACGGGAGTTCATAACTTCAAGTGGTATTGATCAGGGTTGTTTTCTTCCTTTGTTTTTATTTTACTTTGTTACAGATATTCTTCTAATCAGTAGATGAGGTTGTGAATCTTCATCGACTGAGATGGTTGGGCCACGTGTTACGTATGCCCGAACACCGATTACCACGACGTGCAATGCTAACCGGTGTTCGGGATGATTGGAAGAAAGTTAGGGGCGGCCAAACCAAAACGTGGCATCAGTGCTTGATGTCACTAAATTCTAGTCTGAGCCATGTTGGTAGATGCAGACTACTTGGTTGGGGTCCGCGTGACTATCGTAACCAATGGTTGGAGACTGTGTGTGAAATGGCTCAGAATCGATCACAATGGCGTCGGTGTATACACTCTCTGTCTTCTCTTAAACTAAGAGATTAAAATTGCTTCATATCTTTCTTTCTACGAACTAATTCTTTCTTCCTGTACTATATCCTTATTGCAATCTCTCTCTTTTATATATTACCACCTCTGAATTAACTACTTTTATGAATCCGGTGTCCATCTTGTTGTGTTAATGAGGTATGGCAACTTGGACCGATGCATATATGTGTCTGGTCCTACGTTGTAGCTGACTGACAGATATTCTTTTAAGGATAACGCTCATATCGTCCGTCCCCAGAATCGATCTTCTACCACGAGATTCTCTTTCTAGCTTTGAATACCTAGATGATATAGTTCTATTCGACGAAGACTGAGAAATATCGAGTCCTCTGGTCGCCTTGAGCAACGATGTTAGTATGTTTAGGCTACGTTTTCCATTCCCTATCTAAATTCAAATTGCTGCTTTAGAGTTGGTTTGTATCAACTCCTGAACTAATTATAGGGAGTGATGTAATTGGACGCGTCGATCACTTAACCTATCTGGGAAGTCTCATCAGCTCTAGTGAGTTGGTGTCTGACAAAATCGTGCCAAAAATTCTGAAAACTTAATGGGCATTCGCACACTTCCGTCACTTGTGCGACGGTGGAGATATCTGTCTACTGGCCGGACGACGAGTTTACTATGCAGAAGTTTGCTCCATTCTACTTTATGGGTGTGAGAAATGGCCTCTAAAAATAGAGAATATCCGTAAGTTACTAGTATTCAATCGTAGGTGTCTTCGAACCACTGATAGTACATTTTGAAACCATCGAATTGACAATTCTGAGTTTAGAGTCAGAGTGCTAGGTAATTGTGGCACATTGACTGAGATGGTTAAGAAACGTGTTACATATTCCCTCCGATCGACTACCTTGACGCGCAATGATGGTTCGTATAGGACTGGGTTTGAAGAAAGCTAGTAGTCAAATCAAATTATGGTATTAGTTCCTGAAGAAACTGACTACTGAACCGAGCCATGTAGGTTGGTATAAACCACTCTGTTGCGGTCTGCGTGATTTTCGTAACCAATGGTTGTCATGGCTCAAAATTGTTTGGAATTGGGCAGATTCATTCACCATTTGTCTTCCCTTAGTTTGTGAATTTCCTGTAGATTTTTATTCCACTAATTTGCGATTTCTGGAATTGAATTTTGTACGTTTAATCTTTTCTAATACTACTAATAATGACACTATCTCTACTGCTGTGGGATTTGTCTGGCCGCAACTCATTAGCACAGCCAGACGAATTTATCAATTCGAACCGATGTACACATGTTCCAGGTTTTATCTTGTGTATGACTAATTATACTACATTGATTAGTACATGTTCATTAAGTTTTTAGTCATTTCAAAAAATATTCGTACCTTTTAGTCAGTTTTATGACAAATACGTAGTAAATCTTCTTGTATCCTTGTCAAACATGCATCATAAATCAAGTTATTTTTCTATTGTTTAAGGTTGGTGTTAATAGCGTGTCTTGGGCACCCTCCATAAATGCTGAATTTATATTCAATCCCACGTTGGCAACATCAACAACATCAACAAATACTCTGATTCCTCCTATCAAAAGACTAGTTTCTGGTGGGTGTGATTCTTTAATTAAAATATGGCGGTAAGCTTTTCATTTATTGTTACTTTTTCGTTTTTTCTTTCAATATTTTCCAAATCATTACTAGTGTAAATATTAATTAATTATTTACCAAGCTGTCCCATGCAGATCAGTAGTGATGTTCAGTTTTATATCCCAATCTCTTTTAAAACTACTCCGCACTCCACTATCCAGTTTATTAAACTAAGTCATTCGCAAATAGTTCAGCTAGTAATTTCGTCCAATTTATGTGCGCTTCAGAAGTAATATTATTTTAACATTAGAGAATGCGCTTACACTGTCATCAAATGTTCTTCGGAACGATATTTAAAAACTTAATTCAATATGAAGTGGTTTGGATCATTCAGTTTTTGATATTTTTGGATGAAATTCGATCAGTCTTAGTTGGCATTTGTGCGTCCTGTTCGGATCGCCTCGACATAGCCATTGTGATAAAGTTCGACATGGATAAAATTGAATAGATGCAGGTACATCTAACTGATGAGTCACAAATAGAACGAAATAGACGTCCTGTATCCCACTACTAGCCACATTCCATCTATTCTTTATTTAAAACCTCTTTTCTCCTAACAAGCTCCTACCCCCACCTTGACATGCCAGATTACGAAAGATGAGTATCATCCAGCCAACAGTTCAAGTCTAATAACCCTAAAGCAAATACCTTCATGTAACTCAACTATGTCTAATTATTTCTGTCTTACCAGAAAGGGGTTTTGTGGAGATTGTAGTAATTTAATAGTTGAATTTATGAGTCGATTAAAACTAGATCACCATGGAAAACCTGGAAGCACTGGAAGACCGTTTCGTTCTAGCATGGGACTCCTCATCAGTGCGCATCCACGGTCCCACTCGCGGGATTCGAAACCACGACATTCGGTCTCGCACGCGAGCTTATATATATATATATATATATATATATATATATATATATATATATTTAGATAAGTAATATTGTCTACACCCTGTCTTACCATGTGCTTATTTCACCCATAACTTAATAAACTGTCAGTGTTTGTCATAGACACTGAAAATACTACCACCATACTGATTGTGTCAAATCAATGCTACGCCGTTCAGGTCATTATTTGTTAGACTAGAAACTCAATTGTTTTAATGTGTAGGTCAGTTGTTATTTTACTTTTGTTGTTTTGTGTTCTCTTCTCATTTTTACCTGAAATAACCGTGACCTAGCACAATTTTTGTACAGTAGCAGTGGTGGTGTCAGTGTTGACGATGATGATGGTAGTTTTTTTTAACACAGATTGAGTGGAATTTCTCGTCTAAAATCGGAGTCAGTCTAATCTAATTAAAGTACAGAAAAAAATCATTCATAAGATATTTAGTCGCTAAGGCATTTGGAATGTCTACCTATACACCTTCACTTATATACACATACTTAGTCATCGTAGGTAGCATTGTTTATCATTTTATTGTTTTCCGCTATACCTATGTATATTAATATGCCAGTTTTGTGATGTGTTTTTCTTTATGTTCACCTGAGTTATTCAAGTGCATCGGTTTATTCATTGTAAATCATTCACTCACCAACCCCGTCTTTCTAATCTTGTGATGTCTTAAAATATAAAATGTTTGTAAGTTAATCCAGTGAATGTAATTATTAGGAAGATAATTTTTGTTATTATATTGACTTGCTGCTGTAAATGAATTGGTGGGGGAAAAGAAGTTTGCAGTTTTTGTTGGTCTAGCTTTATACCTAAGCTGAATGCATTATCATTTTAAGGTTTGTGTGACTAAAAACAACACGTATTTAGTAAAAATGATAGATTAACATCTTACAAAAACATGTCAAATGAACACTATCTTCAAACTAATCGCATAAACTATAATCCCAAAGATTAACAGCTATCATTGTACTTGTAATCAAATCAAAATACCAGGTAACTTTATCCAGACCAGATAGTGAGCAATAAACTCATATAAAATAAAATACTATCATATTGATTGACAGCATTATAGAACAATATTAGATCATTAACTGACTCGTGGTCTGAGTCGCTCAATGAATATGATTAGTGATTAGGAAGATGTTAGAAGAAAATTGCTTCAAGTCAATCTCAGTCGTCCAGATCTATTCACGCTTCATCTCACAACTTTTTCAGTTTCCAATATTATTTCAAACTATTTATCTGGTGAAACCATTCTTTCTTCTGGAGCCATATTCTATGTGTAGAGTTGCTATTACTGGCACTATCGTGACGTTTGATCTTGGTCAATTTGGCTTCCGTGAATTCATCTCCAGAAAATATACTATCGTGTGACAAACATTTTAGATTTTGAAACTATATAAAGTCAACGTAACTTACAAATTAAGATTGTTCGTATTTTGTTGTTGTTAGAGGTGTAGGGATCGTTGTTACTTCACTGTTGCGTACACCGTGAAAGAATATTTCTTTTCAAGAAGTATTAAAATAAATATCGGTTATTAGTCACGATCCTGTCAATACGAGAAGCGTAACTTTACAACCTAAGAGAGACATCTGCTTGTGCCTGCTCATAAAGTCTGTCAGTCATTTACAATGTAGGAGCAGACATTTATATGCGTCAGTCCAAGTTGCCATACTTCATTAGCACAACAAGATGAACAGCAAATTCATATATGCAGTTACTTCAGTGGTAGTAATATATATAAATAAAGATTGTATACAGGGAGTAAGAATTAGTTCGTAGAAAGAAAGTGATGAAGTAATTTTAATCTCATCGCTTAAGGGAAGACAAAGAATGTATACACCCTACGCCATTGTGGTCAGTTCGGAGTCATGTCATCCAGTGTCTCCAACCAGTGGTTACGATAGTCGCGCGGATCCCAACCAAGTAGTCTGCATCTACCAACATGGCTCAGACCAGAAGTTAGTGACTTTATGGACTGATATCATGTTTTGGTTTGGTCGTCTCTAACTTTCTTCCATCCGTCTCCAACACTAGTCCGCATTGCTTTTGGTCACATAACTTTTTATAATTAGTTTGTTATGTATTATTTCCATATTCAGACTTTACAGGCGACATCAGATATCTATGTAGCAAGGTGAAATTTACTGGTTGTAGGTTCGACTCCCCTAGCTTTCATCGTGGGAAGGTAGTATTACTAGAGATTCTTGTTATCTATGAGAAATACCGTGCTACTACTATAACTCAGCACAGTTAGTAGTATGATTTTATCCTCGGACCTTAGATTTTTTACATAGGACCTGTTAATCAAAACTAACTTTTGAAACACAACAGTGTTTTGAAAAGAGTGAGGATCCGTATTTCGTATAAAATATAAATATTCAATGTTCACTCAATCAGATATTAACAAAATGAATGCAAAAAAAATACAGTGTTAAAAAAATTGACACAATCATGTTGGATGGATTGGTAGACATCTTTAAAAGAGATTTGAAATTGGATCTATTACAATAGTGACATAATTGGTTGATTGTTAAAATACTTGATTTTCAGTCACTGAATAATTGCACGTGACAGACTCGCTTTTTAGAAGTCACACTAATAAATGTGTAGTTAACAAGAGCACAAGTGGGGGACAATCAGATGCATTTAACACACAATCACAGGACTTGTTAATAAAATCTAACAATCATAAAGTAAATACTTAATTTGCAAAATGTCCACCAATTGTCTCAAAATGATTGACTTCATTGTTCCTGCATTTTCATACAAATTGCATTTTGTTTCCATTCTTTACTGTTCGATCCTTTTGTCTCTCTGTTGCCAGACCTTCTGTTTATGAATAACATCATGTACTACTTATGTCAATATAAGTAGCACACATCACAAATGTAGCTCATGCTCGAGTGTACTAGACCGTACTTCGTTAGTGAATTAAAATAATTTTCATTATCCATTTTGATGTTTACGTAATTATTAATTAAAATAAGACTACTACTTTGTTATGAGACAGTGTTTCAAACAGTTTATTGCTATTGGTTTTTTAAATTCATGTTTTCTTAAACACAATATAAATTCATAAATAATCATGACCACTTTGAATTGGTTGCATAATAATTACTTGCCAGTTTTTTGATAATTCTATCATAAACACCTAACACTCTTACTGGCCTCTTGTCTTATATCATTTCCAGCTTTGACAAGGACTAGTTATCAGACATGACTTCAAATTATTCTATATGTTTGAGAGAGAAAATTTTTCTACTGTTTTATTCAATTTAATCATAACCTGTTTTTCAGATGAATTACAAAAAAAAAATGTTTTACAAACATAGAAATATACATATTATCTGGTTTCTGTTTTGTGTCGATTTAAAGAACAAGTCTAACTTAGTTGATATATTTGCTTGATCTAACAATTGGATCTTCATTCCTCACATTTTATATATCATATGTCGATTCTCTACTACCTGTCTGATTTTTATGTTTTTATTTATGTCTGCTCAAAGTGTATCGTTTGGATTTTTTTTCTTAAACTTATGTCTAGATCTCGTTATTTCTGTAACTTATATCGTTAATTTTATTGGCTATTCTTATTCTTTCGTTGTACGTTAGTTACATCAATTCAAACATTTTTGTACACACATCATTTTATGTCCTTGAATAAGATCATTTTTATTTTTGTCCGAAATTTGTCTCTATGATCGAAAAATATTTTACACGCTTATTATTTCTCTTTTTACTCTAAAACTTAGTAATGGAATACTTTGTAGAACTCCATTACCATGGTATAAAAAATAGAATGGCAATAGATTTTTATTATAACAAATGTCTAACGTTACCATTTCGTATATGAAAGGAATGTTTGTTTTCTAAAAAAATTGGTAGATATTATGCTGATTATAGATATGTAAATATTTTTATACTATTACGGTTGGTTTAACGAAAATTGAACATTCCTTTCGTTCCACTTTTTATTATATCCTGTTCTTTTAAAGATTACCTATACCCAGTTTAAAATTCTTTAATTCGTTTGACCAAATGTTTAGGTGTCAGCAATTTTTTTACGAAAAACTTGTGTTAATTATCATAACAGT